TGTTGAGCTCAGATATACCTTTTGTTTTTGTTTTTTTAGGCCTCTTATTCGGATCATAGGAGATCGGTTTCCATGGCAGGTCAAAAGCGCTATCTTGGCTACATTAATCATTCTAATACAAAGGGGTGGAATGGCGCTTAAGCCGTTTCTCCCTCAACTTCAAACAACATTTGTCAAGTGTCTACAAGACTCTACAAGGTTAGTCCTTCATATCAACTTGGGTGGAAGTTAGATTATAAATATTTAGTAGAAGGAAACAGCAATTATAGCGCTTATTAATTCGTAAAATTATACTGTTTCCAATTTTAAGAAGACTACATCTGCCTTGCATGACTAGATCAACTCTTCATCTAAATTTTTAGTCCGGTCTCTTATCTCTACACCTCCCAAATCGAAGTACTCGACATTGCAAATACGAACGTGGAATATGCTCTCTATAAAATGAAGTTGTTTTCTCGTGTACTTTGATCTAACACTTTCACACTCCAGGACCATCCGTTCTAGTGCTGCGCTTGCCCTGGGGAAGCTTAGTGCATTAAGCACGAGGATTGACCCATTAGTTGGTGACTTGACGAATAGTTTCCAGGTAACTTTTGCATCTTTTAGCTACAAATGCATGATTTCAGTAATTTGTCGATATAGTTGTTAGTTTCTGAAATCGGTTATATGTATCAGGCTGCAGATTCTGGGGTACGTGAGGCCATTCTATCTGCGATGAGAGGTGTAATAAAACATGCTGGGAAGAGCATTGGGCCTGCTGTTAGAATACGCATTTTTGATCTCATTAAGGATCTAATGCACAATGAGGATGACCAAGTTCGAATTTCTGCCACTAGCATGATGGGTGTCTTATCACAGGTAGGGCTTAGATATGATCACAGAGTTAGCACTGTTTGTGATAATTGTACTATACTTTGATGAAGCCTAAGCGGTCTTACGTTTGCACTTTTGGCAGTACCTGGAAGCTGCACAACTCAGTGATCTGCTTCAGGAAGTCAAAGATTTATCTGCCTCACAAAAATGGAGCTCTAGGCATGGGTCAGTTCTGTGTATTGCATCCTTGCTGAAGCACAATCCTTCAACCATTATGACATCTTCACACTTTTCCTCAATGTTAAATTCTCTTAAGAGCTCTTTGAAGGACGAGAAGGTACCCTTTTGTGAGAAATAAGGTTTCCCTCATTATCTGTATAACTTCTATCTGACATCTTCTCTTTAAATAGTTTCCACTACGTGAAACCTCGACAAAGGCCTTGGGAAGGCTTTTGATACATCAACTTGCAACGGAGCCTTCCACCACATCAAGAGTTGTTATCGATATCCTCTCATCGATCGTCTCAGCTTTGCATGATGATTCGAGTGAGGTCCGAAGAAGAGCTCTCTCGTCACTTAAAGCTTTTGCAAGAGTAAGTAAAAGATTCTAGTCGTTTTGAGTTGATGATTCCTTTGTTAGTGATACGTAAGGCGGTAACAGCAAGACGTTTTCTTTTTACAGAATAACCCAGCAGCAAGCCTTGCCAATGTGAGTGTTATAGGGCCTCCGCTTGCTGAATGTTTGAAAGATGGAAGCACACCAGTGAGACTTGCTGCAGAAAGATGTGCTGTGCACGTGTTCCAATTAACAAAGGGTATTGAATCTGGCATAACATATCTCTGGACAGTTTTTAGTTTTGAGTTCCAACCATTTATGCACAGTTTGAGTTACTAATTTTCTTTTGTTGCCCTCTTCAGGCGCTGAAAATGTACAAGCAGCTCAAAAATATATTACAGGATTGGATGCCCGACGGTTATCCAAGATGCCTGAACAAAGGTACTTTTATCTTCACTTTATACATTTTTAGTCTCAAGATATGGCTTAAATAAATGGCATTTCTTGTTGTGGATAAGTTCACTTAAGTGAGATATATTACATTTGCAGCGATGACAGCGACGATAGTGAAGATGAAAATGGGCGTGGTTAGGAGGAGGAAACTTTTTGGTAGAAGAGGCTCATTGGTTTACCCTATACACATTTTCTGCATAAGCATTGTCCCGTGAGTTGCGGATGATACTTGATCTCTTTTCCTTGCCATGAGACTATTGTAGCAGTTACACCGTTGATATAAGATTATACCAGGTTTTGGTTTATCAAATATTTGTGTTTTATGTTTGAATTTATGTACTGCTTTTGTAATCTGTCTCTTCATGATTTTGCTTTACATTAACTCGATTATCTACTGTTGTATCCACACTCGATGAAGAAGACTTTCACTCTGAATCCGTTATTTTAATTTTTGCATAATAAAATGTTAAATCATTACTGTTCTTAAATTCATATTCACAATTCATATAATTTTAATTAATTATGGCTAATAGTGAAGCTTATTATGTTTTGTATATTTGTTTGAAGCTATACCACTAGAAAAAGATTTTCAAACATAAAATCCAAAATTTATTTAAATATGTCTCTTTTGAAGATAGTCTAAGAACGTGAAGACCAAAACAGCTGGAAGTTATGAAGATGGCATGTGGTTTCTTATCTAATTCGGTAAGAGAATAGTGGCTTCATTAACTGCATCTATACCTAAAGTTGTATATCTTTTTTTATTCACACTACATATATTACTCTGAGAAAAAGATGAAAATATTGATATATTTCCTATATGCTGCCTTAACATATTCGTATAACATGTGCTCTTTTTCTTTAATGCGTTCAAACGCTTTCTGCCGCATTAACTACCAATCTAGAGTGTGATTGGTTTCTCCAATATCATCCGTAAACACAATTTTTACGGTTGATAATAATTATTAACGTTTTACAAGAATTACATAAAATTTTATAAAATTTTTCAAACCGTTCATAAAATTTTAAAGTCAAAACTGGTTCTTACTAATGTTTACAACTGTGGGCGATTGTAACTAGATAAACAAATACTCCATCTGTTCCTAAAATATTCATATTCTAATTTTTCACACTTTTTAATAAAACATAAGAAATTTGCATAGTTTTTGTATTTATCTTATTTTCATAATTTTAAACCAATAAAAAATAAATTAGTGCAATTAAGTTTTTTGAAGTTTATAATTAGTTAATAAAACATGCATTAAAAATGTAAAAATAGATCTTTTAGAAACATTTTTTTCTAGAATATGTATCTTTAAAGAACGGAGGGAGTATAAAAAATTTCTGAAAATATCTTAAAATTTTAAAATTAAATATTAAGATGGAGATATTATATATTTGCATTTTATGTCTTAATTTAGATACAGTTGTTTATTTGTATTAGAAAAACTTAATCCAAAAATAGTCACTATAGTTTAAACATTAATATATATAAATGAAACAAAATATTCTTATAAAAGTTGTAAAATAATCTTTAAAAAATAGGTTAAAGTTATAACTTTCATGTAAATATACGAATTACGTAAATAAACACAATATTATTATTAATTATATTACATTAATGGTTATTATATTTAACACAATAGTATATTTAATTTTTAATAATGTTAATTAATATGTAAATATTTGTAATTTACTATTAAACTGCTACAATATCTCTTAATTAATCAGTTACAAATATTCCATAAACACATACGTTTTTAACCGCTATATCAGTCGTACAAATCAATTAATAATGCTAGAAACCTTAATCACCTACATCTACAAATTTTCACAACTGCTGCATTTCAATCAATCAGTCACTCAATACAAAAATGACTATTACACACGGAGATGAACTTAAAAATATAAAACCAAGTTCGGTTTGAATAAAACTCATAAACTAATTATTTAACTGAAAATATTAAAATCAATTTTATTTAATAGATTGTGTCTGATATTTATAGTACCAATAAAATATATTTAATGTTACCAGTAAATTTCTGATTTATGCAATTTTTGCTTCTAAACCAAATTTAGTTATGTCTTTTAGCATTCAAATTAATAATAGAATCGAACCCAAAAAAAATCTGCAAAAATGTGAACTGAACCAATCTCTTACATAAATATCTGAATGAACCAACATTATATGTAAACAAAAGACATTTGTGAGGAAAATTGTCTTTTAAAACTAGCTACAGAAAAGTGCAAGTTTCCAACTAATGCTCACAATTTTGTTACAAATTTCGAGTTTCATTTTTGAGAAGTTGTTTAAAATATCATTTTCATTATTTTTATATTTACCTTAACCATATTTACCTTTGATTTTAAATAAATAAATATACAGTTATAATTCTAGGATTAACTAATCTAAATTTAGGATTTAGACTTGAAGGGGATGATTTTATTTGCGAGGTAGAGTTTAAAATTTTAGTAAATATTTTAATAATAGTTTCTAAAAGAATTTTTTGAATTTCAAAAAGAAAATTAAAAAAATCAAAAAATCAAAAAAGAAAGTTCATGAATAAGTTCGAATTAAGGTATAATTTGAAAGTTATAAAATATTTTTATTATTTATTATATAATTATTTATATTTCTAAAGTAAATGTATATATGTATTTTGCCACGTTCAATAAATCTCTTAATTAAATATTTTCGAAAGTATCTATTCAGAGAAGAAAAACATGAATAAATAATACCAATGGAAGTAAAATGGAAAGAAAAGTAAAATTTCTCCATGAGTTTTCCTCTTAATATGCCAGGAGTTGCATGAGAATATCATAATCCCGTGCAAACCCGTCTGAAATTTATTTAAACACCGAACAAGTTACTATCTTTTTCGTTAGGGTTAATCAAAGAGTTATGACACATAAATCCATATATTTATCAGTAGGGAAAGGTTGTTTGTTTGATTCTTTCCTTCCCAACCATAAATCGAATAAAGAAATTAAAAACTCACAGTTTTTGGACTGTCCGAGAAGTTGCCCAAAATTAATAAAAGCAATCTTTAACAAATTTTGAATACACTGTATAAAAATAGTAGACAGAGGGTAGGTGGTAGTTATAAACACACATTAATGGCACCGAACTAAAAACCTACTATAATATAGCATTGCTCCGCTTACAAGGTTTGATACACAAATCCTCTCTCACACCAACGCAAAAACACAATGACCAACGTTGCAGTAATCGCCGCTATTTTGATTGCAGCATCGTTATCAGCTACCGTGTCAGGACAAATGGCTCCATCTCCTTCGTCATCAGGACCTTCTGCTGCACTAGATTGCACGACGAATCTGTTCAACATGTCGGACTGTCTTTCGTACGTTCAGGCAGGAAGCAGTGGTGGTGGTGCAGCCAAACCGGACAAGGCTTGTTGTCCTGAGCTGGCCGGCCTAGTCGAGAGCTCGCCACAATGCCTATGTTACCTACTTGGCGGAGATATGGCGGCTCAGTATGGAATCAAGATTGATAAGGCAAAGGCTCTCAAGCTTCCTGGGGTTTGTGGTGTCGATACTCCCGATCCCTCACTTTGTTCACGTACGTAATTTTTAACTTTCACTCTGAATTTGTTTTTAAGTTTTAACTATGGAAGTTGTTGATTAATATTCTTTAAAAAGTAAGCATCTTGCATGCATATATATACCCATTTTATTTTCTGAAAATTCTAAATTAAGTTGCTAGTATGAGTAAATATATAAGACTAAAATTTAAGGAAACTTTTTAAGAAATATTATATAAGTTTTTGTAAAACAAAATAAATAAATATAAGTTCTCAAAAGTTGAAACGTCTGTATCTATAATTTTTCATGTTTATGTTCTTACTTGAACTCCAAAGGTGCATTATGTTAATTGATTTATGATTTTGTATTCAAAATAAAATTCTTAGCCGAATTTATAAAAAAATCAAAAAATATGGTAACTGTCAATTATATATAGAGGAGATCTGAGAAATGATCATTATTTGTACGATGACTCATTCATTCATACCAACACAATGGAGTTTATCACTGATGAAATACCAACACAATTAACTTTAAAATCAAGAATTTTTTCTGTAAATAATAATGGTAGGATGTGGATATTTGTTTATTGTCTTAATAATGCTGGAATTTTATTTAAAATGAGCTGTATCCTAGCTAAAAAATGTGATACTTGATTGGTAGAATTAATGATAAAAAACATTAGCAATATCCTAAAAAATGCGTATAATGCAGAAATTTTCTGTTTGTTTACTGTATATGAAATTGATTGGTAAAATAGTAAATGATTCATATATGAATCTATCATATTGACGATATAAATATGTTTATTTTTAAATAACATAAATATGCTTTTATTTTTAATATATATATATATATTAAATTTTATATTTTTGTTATTCAATATAATACATCATATTTAGTTATATATATTAAACTACTAGGTGATTTTCCCGTGCTCATGCACGGGTATAAATATTTTTAAAGTAAATATATAATAATAATTGATTACTATTTAGTTTTAATTTTAAATTAATTTATAATTTGTATGCATCATTTATATTAATAATATTATTTTAATTTATTTATACTGTAATTTTATATATGTTATATCTAGTCGATCTTGTTGTTTTTACGGTTGATTTAGTTATCATTTGGATAAATTGAATTTTTTTGAATCCAACTGTAATGTCTAATTTTTAATTAATTACTTATTTGCATATAGTGGGTGTTGTCTTAGATATGTAAATATATTTTTGGAAAATTATGTATAACTTAAGATATATTGTACTTAGAATGAATTAAAAATTAACTAAAGTGTCTGATTCTAAAATACGTAAATTAATATAACGATAATATTCTAAAGTCACATGCATATATACAAATTTTATAAAAGAACTAAAATTGTAAGAGTTGATTATATAAATTCTATTATTAAATTTTATAATAGAACTTCCATTTGAGTAGTATAGAAGTTCTCTCTTTGAGAAAAAAAGTTTGGAATGGTTTTATTACCGTTAAAAGCTACTACTCACCTACCCGCACATTTAATACTTCCGTCGGCTCCGACAAATATCAAACGTATTCAATCTTTTCTTCTTGACTTTATTTTGTTATTGGACATTAAATTTAATGTATTTTAAGAGGACGGATTTGCATTTTTAATCTGTAATTGTTTAGAAACTAAATTAAAGCCCTTTGTCAAAAAAATAAAAATTGTTTAGCAATTTAAGGATTAATGCCGGAACTGATTTTTCTTATTCATACAAAACAATTCGTTAATGTTCTTAGTTTTTTTTTTGTAAATTGTTAATGTTCTTAGTTCTACTTTTGATTTTGCGACAATAGTGTTCGGGATTCCAGTTGGAGCACCGCAAGCTATGGGCAACGAGGAAGCCTCCCCAGCCTTGGCTCCAACTTCAATTTCAGGTAAACTTTCCACTTCATAGTTTCATAAGGTATGAACATTTTGCTTTTAGATTATATTGGGGTATTTTTTTTTCATTTAGTACGGTTAGAGAGAAACACACCCAACTAATACCAAATTAAGTTAAATATTTGGGAAAAGCCATCAACTTCAAATACTAATGATTTAAATTTCGATAGGTGCGGAATCACCACAAGGATTAGGGTCGGGTCCATCGGCTAGCAGAACGAGCGATGCACCAAACGCTGCACCTTATTCTCTTTTTCTCAGTGTCATAATTATCCCATTAGCTTTTGCACTTCATCTTAATTCCTGATTTCTTTTTCTTATTGGCGACACCATTATTTGTATTGTATTTTCTTATAAACGGAGTAGTATTGCTTTTGTAGCTTATTTTCCTGAATTTAATACTTTGTATTTTATGGATTATATATCTTCATTCATCTTACTGAATAAAGATTGTTCTTAAAAATTAATTAAACTTTCAAAAGGTCTAGATTTTAGTCTGCGCTTTAAAAACACAATACAAACTTAATTTAATAAAAATCAAGATAGTTCATATATTTCTTGTTTATATTTGTATAGGAGTTTGTTTATATTCATTTTTTGTTTATGTTTAGTAATCAAACACTCATCTTTATTTAAGTTAAATGGTTAGATTATAAAATATGATATGCATACATTATTTGTTTCTCATTATTTGTATCTATTATAAAATTTTATTTGTTTCTATATCGGTGTTGGATGCAGTTATGCAGCTACGAAATCCCTATTTTCTAAAGAAATTTAGACATCTGATGGATCAAAACTCTTTGATATTCATCACATATAAGTGCTCGATGCAGTTATGCATAAATACAAAAAAATCATATTTTCAATTTATCTTAAATTTGTGGGTAAATCCCCATAAAAAGATCAAGTTTTTTGACAAATGTCATTTGTACTTAAGTTTATCTTCTATAATTTTATTTAAAATATCTAACCACATTAAAAATTGATACTAATGTATCCTAAATTATTTTCATGGTACATGGAAATTAGTTATACTTTTCCAATAAGTAATATAATAAAACTTCATATAGAATGTAAATAAAAAAACTAAAGTTTATGAAATCTCTATATTCTAGAGAATTTAGAACAACAAAGATGTCAGACATCCTAGATGTTCATCATATATCTGTGCTAGATGTATCTACGGATTAAAAGAAAAGTACCATATTTTGGGTTAACCTCTACAAAATATCACGTTTTTCGATAAATGCTATATTCCTATTAAAAATGTAATTTCTAGAGAAATGGAGACAAATAAGGTCTCGGACATATTTAATTTTCATTACATGTCATTATATGATGAAGTTATGCAATAAAAATATCATATTTTATAATTTATCTTATAAAAAATTGAGTTTCTTTCTAATAAATGTTATATATACTAAATTTACCGTCATTAATTTTTTTAAATACCTGACCATACTCTAATGTATATATTAATGCACGCTAAACATATTTTCATGGTACATGGATATCATTTCTAATTTTCTAACAAGTAATTTTCTTAAACTTCATATACAATCTAATTAGTGTACTAACTTTTATAAAATCTCTATTTTCTAAAAAAATTGGGAACACTTAAGGTCTCAAAAATTCTTTAATCTTCATACTATGCCAGTGCATGATGCATCTATGCATTAAAACAAAATTTCATATTTTCTAATTTATCATGAAATATGTTGGTTTAACCCCTACGAAATATTGTATTTTCAATAAATACTATTTCGCCTATTTAGCGTTACTTAAAAATACCGAACCATACACCAAGTTTATATATATATGTTTGTTAAACTTATTTTTTTATGGTATATGAACATCATTTCTAATTTTCTAATCAGTAGTTTACTTAAACTTCATAAACCATCTAATACGTGAACTAACACCTATAAAAACTATATTTTCTGAGAAACGGGGACACCTAAGGTCTTAACCCTCTTTATTTTCCATATTATGTCAGTGCATGATGCATACACTCATTAAGACAAAAATACTATATTTTCTAGTTTATCTTGAATATATGGATTAACCCCTATAAAAATCATGTTTTCCGATAAATGTTTTATATAAACCTCTTTAGTTTTGTTTAAATATCTAACCGCGTTAAAAATTTATATTAATTTACTAAACTTATTTTCATGGTACATGATCGCCAGTTCTAATTTTCAACCGAATGATTTAATAAAACTTCATGTACCACCAAAATAATTGAGCTAAACCCTATAAAATCTTTATATTCTATAGAAATTTGGACAATTAGGGTATCAAAACTCTTTGATATTCATCATATATCAGTGCTGGATGTAGCTATGCATAAATAAAAAAATTCATATTTTCAAATTTATCTTGAACTTCTGTGGGTTAACCCCTACAAAAAGATCGAGTTTTTCCGATAAATGGTATTTATACTTATGTTTAATGTCTTTATTGTTGTTTAAAATATCTAACCACATTAAAAAATTATACTAATGTATTCTAAATTTATTTTCATGGTACATGGACATCAGTTATAAGTTTTCAACGAGTAATTTAATAAAATTTCATATACGAGGTAAATAAAAAAAACTAAACTCTATAAAATCTCCATATTCTAAAGAAACTGGGACAACAAAGGTATGATACATTCTTAATCCTCATCTTATAGATGTGCTGGATGAATCTATGCATTAAAAGAAAAGTATCATATTTTCTAATTTATCTTGAATTATATGGATTAACCCCTACAAAAAGATCGAGTTTTTGGATAATTGCTATATACTAAAATTTAAGCTCTTTTGTTGATGAAAAATATCTAATCACATTATACATTTATATTAATGTATGTTAAACTTATTTTCATGGTACACAAACAACGTTTCTAATATTTTAAGAAGTAATTAAGATTTTCTAATCCACCTAATTCAGTGGACACACCCCTATAAGATCTGTAAGTTCTAGAGAAAATGGGACGAATAAGATCTGAGACCTCTTTAATTTTCATCACATGTTAATGCATGATGAAATTTCACATTAAAACAAAACACCATATTCTATAAATTATCTTACAAAAAGATAGAGTTTTTTTCTAAGAAATGCTATATATACTAAAGTTTAGCCTTATTGATGTTTTTAAAAAAAATACATAACTACACTCTAAATGAATATTACTGTATTCTAAACATATTTTCATGGTACATGAGCATCATTTCTTAGTTTTCAAAGAGTAATGTTTTTAAACTTCATATACAACCTAATTAGTGTACTAACCCCTATCAAATCTCTACTTTCTAGAGAAATAGAAACAGCTAAGGTCTCAAACCTCTTTAATCTTTATACTATGTTATTGCATGATGCAGATATGCACTGAAACAAAAATACCACATTTTCTAATATATGGGTTAACGCATACAAAAAATTCAATTTTCCAATAAAGACTATATATACTATTTAGCCTCTTTATTGTTGTTTAAAAATATCTAATCACACTCCAAATTTATATGTATGAATTGTATAATTATTTTCATGGTACATGGACATCATTTCTAATTTTCTAACGTGTAATTTTTAAACTTCATATACGACCAAATTAATATACTAACCTCTATGAAATTTCTATTTTCTAATAAAATGGGAAGACTTAAAATCTCAAAAACTCTTTAATATTCATATTATGTTAGTGCATGATGCATCTATGCAGTAAAACAAAAATTATATTTTCTAAATTTTCTTGAAATATTTTTTCTTGAAAAATATTGAATTTTCCAATAAATACTATCTATATTATTTAGCATCTTTAGTGTTGTTTAAAAGTAACCAATCACACACAAAATTTATATATATATGTATGCAAAACATATTTCATGGTACATGGACATCATTTCTAATTTTCCATTGAGTAATTTATTTAAACTTCATATATCATCTAATAAGTGGACTAACCCCAATAAAAATTCTATTTTTGAGAAATGGGAACACCTAAGGTCTTAACCCTCTCTATTCTTCATACTATGTTAATGCATAATTCAGAAATTTATTAAAACAAAACACCATATTTTATAATTTATCTTGAAATATGTGGGTTAATCCCTATAAAAAGATTGAGTTTTCCAACAAATTTTATATATATGCCTCTCTAGTTTTAATTAAAAATACCTAACCACATTCAAAATTTATATTAATGTAATAAACTTATGTTCAAGGTACATGGGCATGAGTTCTAATTTTGAACCTAAGAATTTAATAAAATTCCATATAACACCAAAATAATTGAACTAAACCCTATAAAATCTCTATTTTTTTTATAGAAATTTGGACAACTAATGTATCAAAATTCTTTAATATTCAGCATATATCAGTTCTAGATGCAGCTATGCATAAATACCAAAATTCAATATTTTCTAATTTATCTTGAAATCTATGGGTTAATCCCTACGAAAATATAGAGTTTTTCCTACAAATGTTATTTGTACTTATGTTTAGTCTCTTTAGTGTTGTTTAAAATATCTAACCACATTCAAAATTTATACTGATGTATCCTAAATCTATTTTCATGGTACATGGATCAGTTATAATTTTCAACGAGTAATTTAATAAACCTTCATATAGCAAGTAAAACCCTATGAAATCTCTACATTCTAGAGAAATTGGGAGAACAAAGGTTTGAGAAATATTTTATATTAATCATATATTTGTGCTGGATGAATCTATGCATTAAAAGAAAAGAACCATATTTTTAATTTATCTTGAAATCTGTGGGTTATAACTCCTACAAAAAGATCAAGTTTTTCGATAATTGCTATATACTAAAGTTTAAGATTTTTTCTTTTGATTAAAAAAATACCTAATCACATTATAGATTTATATTAATTAATGTAAGCTTATTTTCATGGTACACAAGCAATGGTTTTAATATTTTAATGAATAATTTAATAACAATTTATATTCCATCTAATTTAGTGGACTAACCCCTATAAAATATGTAAGTTCTGCAAAAAAGACAAATAAGGTCTCAGACCTATTTAATTTTCCTCACATGTCAGTGTGTGATAAATTTTCAGATTAAAACAAAACACCATATTCTATAATTTATCTTACGAAAAAGTCAAAGTTTTGCAAATAAATGTTATATATTCTTTAGCTTCATTAATGTTTTTCTTAAACCTTACCACACTCTAAATATATTTTAATGTATTCTAAGCATATTTTCATGGTACATGGACATTATTTCTAATTTTTCAATGAGTATTAAAAAAAAACAAATCATATACGACCTAATTAGTGTACTAAACCCTATAAATTTTCTATTTTCTAGAGAAATAGAAACATCTAAGGTCTCAAACCTCTTTAATCTTCATACTATCTCAGTGCATGATGCAACTAAGTATTGAAACAAAAATGCCATATTTTATAATTTATTTTGAAATATGTGGGTTAATACCTATGAAAAGATTTAATTTTCTAATAAATACTAGCTATACTATTTAGCATCTTTAGTGTTGTTTAAAAATACCTAACCACACTCCAAATTTATATATATGTATGCTAAACTTATTTCATAGTACATGACATCATTTCCAATTTTCTGAAAATTCAGATACGTTTTACTTAGTGGAATAACCCTTATAAAATCTTTATTTTCTAAAAAAACAAGAACACCTAAGGTCTTAAATCTCTTTAATCTTCGTAATATGTCAGTGCATGAAGAAACTATGCATTAAAACAAAATTATCACGAAATATATGGGTTAAGTTCTACAAAAAGATTGCATTTTCTGATAAATGCTATCTATAGTATTTAGTCTCTTTAGTATTGTTTAAAAGTACCTAATCACACTCTAAATTTATAAATATGTATGCTAAACTTGTATTCATGGTACATGGGCATCATTTTTAATTTTTCAATGAGTAATTTATTTAAACTTTCTATATCACATAATAAGTGGAATAACTCCTATAAAAGCTTTTCTTTTCAGGATAAACGGGAACACCTAAGGTCTCAAACCTATTTAATCTCCATAATATGTCACCGCATGATGGAGCTATACATTAAAAAAAGTACAATATTTTCTAATCTATCTTGAAATATGTGGGTTTACCTCTACAAAAAAATCAAGTTTTCTGATAAATGTTATATATACTAAAGTTTAACCTCTTTAGTTTTGATTAAAAATACCTAACCACATACAAAATTTATAACTAAACTTATGTTCATGGTACATGAGCATCAGTTCTAATTTTCAACCAAAAAAATTAATAAAATTATGTATACCACCAAAATCAATGAAGTAAACCCCATGAATTCTTTATTTTTTAGAGAAACTTGGACAATTAAGGTATCAGAATTCTTTGATATTCATCATATATCAGTTCTAGATGCAATTATGCATAAATACAAAAAAAATATTTTCAAATTTATCTTGAAGTATGTGGGTTATCCCCTACTAGGCATGGGCATTCGGGGTCCCATTCGGGTTTCGGTTTTGTCCAATCGGGTCTTGGTTCTTCGGGTTTATAAAAATCAGCCCCATTCGGATTATTTGAAAGTTCGGTTCGGGATCGGTTCGGGTTCTATCGGGTTCGGGTCTGGGTTAGTAAATCTTTAAAGAACCGGTACAACCCGTTATACTTTCGGATTCGGGTCCCAATCGGTTCTTTGGTTTAAAAATACTTGATTTGTACCTACTTTGTAACCAAAACATAAGTAAAATTGGTTCTTCAGATTTAAAGTACCTAATGTGTAATTATTTTATAACCAAAACATAAGTAATATTGATTCAAAAACAAGAAAGGAACATCAAATTTGATCATTCAAAATCAAATGAAAGGTAAACATAGTTATTAATAGAAAGAAAACCAAATAAATTAAAACATAAAATGAAAACCAAGTTCTTAAAGGATAAGAAACATTATTCAGTAATAACAAAACCTTAATCTAAAAATTTCAAGTTTCAACCGCCATCTTCAACCATCAACATTCATGTAATAGATAATTATTTTAGATGTTTAGTAATATCTTAAAATATTTTGATATATATTAGGAATTAAGATCATGTTTGGTACACATTCTTATTAAAAAATTTGAATGTTTCGGGTTCTATCGGATATCCATTTAATTTCGGGTTCGGTTCGGATAATACTCATAACCCGAAATACCAAAAAACAAGATCCATTTGGTGTTTAAATCGGGTTTGGATCGGTTCGGATTCATTTGTATCGGATCGGGTTCGGTTTATTTGCCCAGCCCTATCCCCTACGAAAGGATCGTGGAGTTTCCAATAAATATTATTTGTAATTAAGTCTATTCTCTTTAATGTTGTTTAAAATATCTAACCACGCTAGAAACTTATACTAATTCATCCTAAATTTATTTTCATGGTACACGGGCATCAGTATAATTTTCCAACGAGTAGTTTAATAAAACTTCATATACCACGTAAATTAATGAGATAAACCCTATGAAATCTCTATATTCTAGAGAAATTGAGACAACAAAGGTGTTAAACATCTTTGATCTTCATCCTATATATGTGCTGGATGCATCTACGTATTAAAAGAAAAGTACATTTTTTTAATATATCTTGAAATTTGTGGGTTAACTCTTATAAAAAAAATCGATTTTTTTTATAAATGCTATATACTGAAGTTTGAGCTTTTTCATGTTGATTAAAAAAAATACCTAATCACATTATGCATTTTTATTAATGTATGTTAAACTTATTTTCATGGTACATGGACATCGTTTTTAATATTTTAGTGAGTAATTTATTAAAATTACTAAATTTCTTTAGAATAATGTGATTTCTATAAAATCTGCAATTTCTATAGAAACCTGGACAAATAAGGTCTCAGACCTCTTTAATTTTCATCACATGTTAGTGCATGATGAAATTAAGCATTAAAAACAAATACCATATTTTTTAATTTATCTTACGAAAATATCAAGTTTTTTCCAATATATGCTATATATATACACTAAAATTTAGCTAATGTTTTTTTTTAAATACCTAACCGCACTCTAAATTTATATTCATGTATGCTAAACATATTTACAAGGTATGTGAGCATCATTTCTAATTTTCAGTGAGTACCTTTTTAAAAATTCAGATACGTCCTAATTAGTAGACTAACTCCAATAAAATCTCTAGAGAAACGGGAACACCTAAGGTATTAAACATCTTTAACGTACATACTATTCAGTGTGATGAAGCTATGCATTAAAAAAAAGTATCATATTTTCTAATTTATCTTGAAAATATGGGTTAACCCATATGAAAAGATTGATTTAAAAAAAAAATCAGATACGTCCTAATTAATGGACAAACCCCTATAACATCTCTAGAGAAACGCGAACACCTAAGGTCTTAAACCTCTTTAATCTTCATACTATGCCAATGCATGATGTAACTGTGCATTAAAAAGTATCATATTGCATAGTTTATCTTGAAATATGTGGGTTAACCCTTACAAAATAATTAAATTTTCTGGTAAATGCTATCTATAATATTTAGCCTCTTTAGTATTGTTTAAAAATACCTAATCACACTCCAAATTTATGCTAAACTTATTTTCATGGTTTATGGGCATCATTTATAATTTTTGAAGGAGTAATTTATTTAAACTTCATATACCATCTAATAAGTGAACTAATCCATATAAAAACTCTTTTTTCTTTCAGAAGAAACGGGAACACCTAAGATCTCAAACATCTTTAATCTCCATTCTTTGTCACTCCATGATGGAGCTATTCATTAAAATAAAATACTTTATTTTCTATTTTATCTTAAAATATGTGGTTTAACCCCCTGCAAAAATATCGAGTTTCCCAATAAATGTTATATATACTAAAGTTTAATCTCTTAGTTTTTTTAAAAAACGGGAACACCTAAGGTCTTAGATCTCTTAGTCTCTGTACTATGCCAGTGCATGATTCAGAAATTCATTAAAATAAAATATTATATTTTCTAATATATCTTGAAATATGTGTGTTAACTTTTATAAAAAGATTGAGTTTTCCGACAAATGTTATGCATATGTCTCTTTAATTTTGTTTAATATATCTAACCAGATTCAAAGTTTATATTACTATACTATATAAACTTTTGTTCATTGTATATAGACATCAGTTCTAATTTCAACCGAAGAATTTAAAAAAACTCCACAACCAAAATCAATGAACTAAACCCTATGAAATCTTTTTTTTTATAGAAACTTGGACAACTAAAATATCACAACTCTTTCATATTCAGTGTTGGATACAGCTATACATAAATACAAAAATTTCATATTTTCTATATGTAAGTGAGGGTATCTCACCAGAGAACCGGTTTCCTTGCAAGTGAAGCTCCTCTAACCCCCGCAAGCTGCATCACAGAGGTAGGGATTCTCCCAGTGAAACGGCTGTTATCGAAAAACACACGTTTGATCTGAGAAGTATCTTTGAAGAAATCATCATTGATCTCTCCCAAGAAGCTGTTGTTTGACATCAAGAGGGATTTGAGATGAAGCTTGAAGAAAGGAGGGAGTGAGCCAGAGAGGAAATAATTGTCAAGCCTGATTGTCCTTAGGTTTGGGAGATCTTGTAGATCCGCGACTTTGATGGTTCCCGAGAGACCGAGTTTTATGACGTGAATGCCCGAGACTGTTTGACCCTTTTGGAAATAGATCCCAAACCATTTTGCCGTTGCAAGGGTCGGTTACTGTTCACCATGATTTCAGGTCCACTTTAGTTACGTCCACTGAGGTTTTGAACCGCATGAGCGGTTCAGACTCGCTGACGTGTTGTAAACAAGGGGGTAGAGGAGGAGGCAGAGAATTAGACCAGCAGTCATGGGTAAAAAAGAACAAAAGTAGCAGCTGCATGTCTTGTGTTTATTTTTCGAAGTTTGGACATAGTTTTTGTGTGTTCAAAAGGAAACGGAGACTTAGCTAGCAAAGTTTGTGTGTCCATGGACATGTTTTCTTGTCTTTGAGAGAGTTAGCTAGCAAAGTTTAGGTTTTGCTCTTGCCAAAAATAGCTATTTATTATTCCAAAATCAAAGATTGCTTTCCTTTTTTGGAGGAATCTGAGAGCAAGAGAATTTCTTACGTCCATGTTTTTTTTTTCTTAAACCTTTTGACTTTGTTTCCACCACCACAATCCTCGTAATTTTGTTTTTGTGATAACCTCTTGCTATGATTTTTCTTCCGTCTAATTTTCTTTTGTGATACAATGTATTTTCTCATGAAAACTATTACATAATATTAAATTCTTACCAAACTATGACTTTGTTATACATCCTTTTTAAGTTGAAAATTGCAAATCTATTGCTCACTAAATTAGATGTTAAAACCTTTTTTCTCCATCTTCTTCTGATGTTTCTCACTTGAACTATTATCAATCTTCTTCTGATGTTTCCTCCTCAATTAAAAGAAAAAAGATTCTTTCCACATATAAGAATTATTAATTTTTGACAATATAAAGTTACAGGAAATAAAAGAAAAGATTAACAGAAAAGAGAGATAAAATGCATGAAATCATGAACAATTCCTAGAGCTGCTGCCACTGTTGTTGTCTTCAATCATCATTCCTTTCAAACTCTTTGCCAACCAAATAGCAGTTTCTCTAGGGGAAACTTTGTTCTTACCAAAGGGCTGCAACACGATAGCTAGCTCTTCAAGCCTACTCTGTTCCAACAAATCCGCAGACAGCTCCAACAGACCTTCAAGCGCCTCTGCTCTCTGTCTGAAAGATTTGATGTCCAACGTCTCTTTCACAGGTGCAACCGTAGGATTTGTTTCCTCTTCAGGCATGAATGAGTTTTGTCTTGTCTCAGGTGGTGAAGAATCAGTACATGAGTTAATAAAGCTCTTGGTTTCTGAGTAATCATTAGTGATAGGGTTCGGTTCTTCAGGACGGCTCTCAGTGGTTTCAGAAGGAGTGGCTACTTTCCTGACTTCAAGTTTATCTCTCACAACACTTTCCATCACCGGCTGGTCACTCCCTACACGGAAACTGCTGTGGCGGATCACATGTATGACGTCATCCACAACCGGATTGTTGTTCTCAAGAGCTGAGTTATGAGAGACCATGGTTTTGTCACTCACTTGTGGAGAAGGTTCAGCATGCAAAGGTGTTGTTGCCGTGAATTTATTATCATCACCGTGTCGTTGTGACGCATTAGGCTCATAGCTTTGCAAAGTCACAGGGCTACTACTACTCTCTTTGGACTGGTGATGGGGAACATCAGGAACAGTTTCATCAAGCCGCATGCTAGTGCTGCGGATCATCATCATCTCTGAAGACGAATACTCACTGTGACATGATGGTACGTGGTCAGTATGTTGTTGTAACATGTCGATATACGGTGTGGAAGCAGCATCATCAGAGAGCTCAAAAGCCTGCATGGACAAGGAAGATGAAATAGAGTTACTGCTTTCACTCTGCATCTCTTTCGAAGAGATTCTCTTTGGCTCAAGATGAGAGTTAGTTTCCTGCTCTGATGGATACAGCTTCATGGTTTCCTTATCTGTTGTTCCTGATTGCCCTGACAAAGACGTTCTTCTTTGTAAAGTAGGAGGAGGTGTTCTTAGTCTTCGCTTAGTTGACATTGCCTCTTCGTTTCTAGGCTTAAGTTTATGAGAAGAGTCAGTCACTGGCATCTGCGAAATCATTTCATATGAAATAGTTAGTACATCAACTAAACTTGGAAAGTGAGAACAAGAGCTTGTGGCCCAGTGGTGATTATCTTGAGGGTAAAAGCCCTATACGGTGAAGCCACATGGATTCAATTCTCGGCCACTGGAAAATTAACATTTCGGTAATGGGACCGACATGTGGGTAACACGTGGCTAGTCTGAACCCACTTCTGTAGGTGCCAGGATACCCCTTTATAATTAAAAATAAAAAAGGAAAAACTTGGAAAGTGAGGGAGGAAGACCGTACTTGATGATGCTTCGGTGGTATCGAACCCGGGTTCCTTGCTGGTGTATTTGAGTTAGTCTTGGAGCTATGAGCAATGTCACTGAGTTTGGGAATCTTTGAAGGAGTTTCGGTAATAATCTTCTGTGTTGTAGTTCTCCCTCTAGCTTTCTCTTCTTTCAGAACCATCATGATGTTTCTAATAGTTTTTGGGTGGTGTTGCCTTGGTTGAACAATGTCATCACTCTGTGAGGGCGGCTTTAATATCCCATGACTATCTGCTGAAACACTCTTGACGTTTTCGTTTTGTTGTTGTTGTTGTTGCACTTGGTCCAGAATCTCGTCTTCATCAACAACAACACAAGGTGGTGTAACGGTGTCAGTGATTTTAGTACGGTTGTTTTTGTCACTCACGTAGAAATTATTATCTCTTTCACTTGAACTATTGCTGTTTTGGCTTTCAGCCATACTCCTCCGTCCCTCACGAGAATTGAGAGGCTTCTCTGGGGGTATAGTTGCTGCGGAGATGGCTGGACGGTACTGCTCAACGTATGGTTGCAAATAAGGATGCTTCAAAATCTCCGAGGCCTAAAAAGGAAAAGAAAATATATATTCACTTCACTGGGTGCCAACCCTTAGCAGATAAGTAAGAAAAAATCATACGCTTGGCCGGTACTCAGGGTTTTTCCTTAGCATCCCCTTGATCAGTGCTTTTCTGCAATACCAAAACATACAAATTAAGGAGAGAAATGTTCTGTTTTTAAAAAAGAATATATTATTATTGTATCGCTGACATGTTATTTATGGGCAAGGCAATGTGTCAATATAAGAGTAAGAAAATGAATCTTACAACGATGGTGAGTAGCACGTAGGCAACGGACCAATTGAGGAGCGATTAACCTTGCTTATAAGCCCTGCCATATCCTGAAACCATATAAAACATCATCAAATCAAATGTCATAATGTCCTTAGAAGATGAGATAGAATGCAGAGGATACACACAAGTCTATCTATACATAGTTCTTTAGCATTTTCATCTCTACTAGAGACATACCTTTCTCGGATCATTTAACTAACAAACCAGGAAAAAAAAATATGAATAACTTACAAAAGCTTTGAAAGCAGGTCGAAACGCAGCCATCTCATATATACAACAGCCTGTTCAACAGCATACAGTCTTAGCATCAGTCCACAATTACAAGATTGCAAGCGTTACAAAGGATAGGTTATATATATATACCTAGGGACCATATATCTGATTTAAAACCATAAGGGATATCAGCAAGCAGTTCCGGGCACATGTAGTTTGGAGTTCCAACAACCTACATATAAAACGCCATGAGTCATAAACACCAAAGTCTTGAAAACAATCCTAAGAATATTCATTACAAAGATTATGGTTTTGCATCCCATTTTAACCAGTTAGCAAAGAGAGAAGAGTATATAAGGCCATGACTGTCATAAATCTTGGTAAAATATTATATCTTTTCAATCTGAAATTCTTTATAAGCAGTTGTTGAGAATAATAGGCAACATATATCTTAATGTATCAAATTTGTTAATATAACTCATTTCGAATGCGCTGAATTGTCAATGTGTGATAAAAATACAAGCAGTATGCTTACAGAACCGGAAACTATAAGACATACCGAGGAAGTTAGGTCATCCGCCTTCATAGTTTTGGCCAGACCAAAGTCCCCTGTATATAAGAAAAAAAAAACAGAAGGTGAACACACATTTCTCAAAATACTGCCAATATTTTGGAGCTAGCTAAGCTTACCAAGGCGGACGTCATCTTTTGTAAGGAAAATGTTGGAACACTGGAAAGAGCAGAATTTACAAATAAGTCCACAAGAGAATTAAAGCATATGACAGAATGATTTAGACAACTAGCATGGCTATTTTTTTACCTTTAGATCACGATGTAGAACATAGTTAGAATGAAGATACTCAACAGCTAACAACAATTGAGTAAACCACTTGCAGAGTTTCTGCCAACAGAATAATAAAACAAAAATCAGTATTAGTCAGTGTTCTAAAAATTGGTTTGCCAGCCTAAAAATCAATTCTTAAAAAATCCGTCTACGCACTCCTCTAAACAATAATCTTCTATATGACACCTAACCACCACCTAGCAATCTCTTAAACATTGCCATTAGTACTAATCAATCACTAAATCATGTTTATTAGGAAGAGGTTTCAGATTAAAAGAAAGTCAATCACCTCCTCAGGAAAATGCACACCGTTTGACTTTTTCATCAACTCAGCCCTGCCAAAAAAAATAGTAGACCAACTCTTTGACTTTTACGACCTAAAACAACAAAAAGGGTAACCACAACTAGAAAATCTTTTGAGAAAGTTAAAACTCACATATCTCCCCCTTCACAGTATCCAGTGACGATACAAACATAACAACCCTGCATTTTACCAAATATAGCTTTGTATCAAAAAAAAAACAACCAAAAATCTAGTTGAATCCATATCAAAGTCTACTTACTTTCTCAACCCAAGCTTCTTTATACTCCACGATGTAAGGATGCTGAACCTTCGCAATCAAAGCCATCTGAAAAAAAAAAACTCACCATTGATGTAAGAGAAAAAGAAATGTTGTCCGAATCTTGAAAAAAAAAAAGATTGTTAGAAATTATTTTACTTCTTGATGAGCAGATTTGCGGCAACGTTCCGTTTGCCTAGCTAATCTAATCTTCTTCAGAACATACCTTAAAAAAAAAAAACAACAACCATTAGTAAAATGGAGAAGATCAATTGATTAGAGAATTTTAGAGAAAATCAAAATCATTTTACTTCTTTTTCTCGGCCTTGTGATGAACTAGAATAGCAGCACCAAACGCACCACGACCGATCTGCTCCATGATCTCGTACTGATCCATCCTCGACTCCATTGCTTTTGCTTGTCACCAACCAAACCAACAATGATACTTGAGCTTACGAGTTTTTCAAAAGAAAAAAAAAATTGCTTCTCTTCGAAGTAATAATCTTCAGCAGCACTGGCCTACACGCTTCGTATTCCACAAAAATATTCGAAACCGCTCTCGATTCAAAATTTCAGATCCAGACAGTTTTTTTTTGGACAATAATGAGACTTGGACAAGAGAACAGAAAGTCTTTACAGATTAACATGAGAAAAGGGATTTAACAAGAGGAACTGTGTCTACCTCTCTCTCCCTCTTTCTGGTGTCCTTTTTCTTCTGTGTGTTAATTCAGTTGCACAGTACGAATCTAGACAGGGAAAAGTGATGCGAGTTGGTTTCTGGACTGGAATTGTTTTTTTTTTTGTTTTAACTTGGTGAGTAATTTTTTGTTTTTATTAGTAAATTAGCTAGAAAGATTGTGCATATGTAAGAGAATTTAGTGGTGTTTTTTTATATTTATACTAAAAATAAGATATTTAATCTAAACATAAAAGACATCCTTATTATTCTGATTTTATCTTCCAAAATAGGACATGATATATTTATAAAAAAATATTTTCCCTATATCTACCTGTAAGAAGATTTGTTTCCATTTTTTCAAAAAGAAAATCTAGGAAGAATTGTAATTTTAAATATGTGACGTTTAAGTCTTCGTGGTATTTTAAATATTTTCAAAATGTACAGTAAAATCTCTATAAATTAAAAATGTTGGAATTTTGAAATTTTATTAATTTATAGAAATATTAATTTACAAAAAAATCTTATTTTGATTTTTTATTTTAAAATATATTTTTTCTAAAATAATAAAAATATTTGATTTTAGTGTATAAACATTAATTATTATTTTTAAATTTTTTGACATTTATATCAATTTTATTATATTATTTTTGTATATAATATATATTGCATATAATCTAAATGTGATTTTAGACATAATATTACCAAATCTCAACAAAAATATAATTAGTGTTAAAAAATATAAAGGTAATTCTATTGTTAATAAAAAATAAACAATATAACGATATGTTCTTACTGATATACAATTTGTATACATATAATTGTTAATTTATAGTTTAATGTGATCATATATTTAAATAGAATTTTCTAAAAATACTATCTTATTATTTTATTGATTTGTGTCAAATTTTGAACAGTTTCAAATTGAGATCGACAAAATTTATTAATTTATAGAAAATATTAATTTATCAAATATTAATTTATAGAGGTTCTACTGTAATTGGAAATTTTTTTTAAAGCTAAAGTTTAAATAACAAATACTACAGATTTAGAGCAAAATCTTAAACCTTACATATTCAATTAAAAATGAAATTAAAATTGGAAGTGCATAGGGAATGTTTTTTTCCAGTTGAAAACAGAAAATGAAAAGCAATATAGAAAATATATGGTAATACTGAAAATCTACGTTCTATTAAAGGTTTTTAATGGTTTTCTTAGATTTTAGTTTATGAAGTTTAGTTTTTGTTTACCATTTTTTTATGTAAATTGTAAATTTAAGAAGACTGGTGATTTAGAATTAATAAACTTTTGATATGATAGGTAAAAAATATATATGCGAAGTTACTAGTTTGGTTTTGGTTTTCGCAAAATTTTTATTTTGTTGACAAAAAATATAAATCTCTTTTTGTAAAAAAGAAACATAAAACTGAAACTGGAAAAAAAAAAGAACTTGTTTTATCTCCAAATGATTTTTTCTGGACCAACAAAACAATAGTAGTTTAGTGGTAAGAGTTAAATTGGGGCTGGTTTGGCTTTTGAAAATATAGTTCTTGATGCTTGATTAGTTTCTGTTTAGGTTTCAGTCCAAATGATTTACAATAACATAAACCATTTGGATATTTTCTTATATTAATTACAATTAATATATTTCAAATTTAATTAGACATTGTGATATCTAGTTTTTGTAATACTTGAGTTTATTTCTGTCAGGACCAATCATATCATCATCCAATAAAATTGCATAATGTTTTCTTATCAAATGTACATCAAGGATCTAGGTTCAAAGCGTCATTGAAGGCAAGAATGTGTAGCTCAGTGTCATTCGGTTACTCTAACTATTTGAATAGGGATAAGTTAAATATTCTTTTCAATTTTTTATATGATGTGTTGTCTCATTTCACAAATATTAAAAAATATACATTCAAAAAAAATACTTTTAAAGATATAATTTTAAATTATATAATTTCAAAACATCATATATATTGAAAAAACATTAACCTTATAAAACATCATATAATTTGTAATATCAAAATATGTACCGAATTCGAATCCTGATTCCTACTGTTTGTTCCTCAAGTCTTTTTTTTTTATCTTTCTAAGACTTCAGCAACTCGTAATAATTTTCATTTTTTATGTGAAATACAAAACATACACTGTTTTGTTCAGACTTTAACCTGCCGACAAATCCAGCTGTTTTAATGGAAATAATACCTGCTCATCTCCGTCTCGCTCTATACCACTGTTACTGATTATAAAATAATGATTGGATACTATTCCCTACTATTTAATCCAAGTAATGACGTGGCCGATCCCTGAACGTGACAATATCTTTTAGAAGTTAATCATGAATTACAGCTCTATATCAGTTTATGTTTTGTTTTTTTAACAGAAGTTTATACGTAGAGATGTCAATGGTGATTGAAACATAAGCTTGATACCTAGTACGTGGCATTTTAGGGTGTGTTTTAAGTCAAATATATATAGCTTATAGTTTATTCCATCCATTTCAAAAAGTTACATTTTAATTTTTTCACACATATTAAGAAAAAACATAAAATTCGATTACCGATGTTTCATTTATTATAAATAATAAATCTCGGCATTTTTTACAAATATAATTATAAGAAACATAATCAATTTTTTTTAGAATCTATAATTTTTTATTAAATTATACATTGAAAATATAAAAAAATATATCTTTTTTAAACAAATACTATTATTTATAGAATGTTAATCTTTCTGTTTTGAAACAGAAAGAGTATTCAATTTGGTTCATGTATAGCCTCGCCTCTTAGCTCACACTTCAATCATTTTTGTCAACCTCATATATTCGTTAATTATTACAGAAACTTTTGAAACTTATGTAAGCCAACTCTTCTAATTTATAGGAAAACCTATTTAATTGTATTTAATTTTACATTAAGTCTATTTGAATATCCAAAGATAGTGTCTATTTATAAGCTGTACCTCTTCTTAGAAAATTAATCTAGATTTCTCCATGATAGGATATCCTCAAGTTAATCCAAAAAAAAGGTTGTGTACAAAAGATAGTATTGCTTTTGCAAAGTTTGTCTAATAAATCAGATATAATATTGTCTTCAAACTATATTATCTTAAAAATTTGTTTTTCATATTCATCATATTCATTGTCAATTATATTAATCCAATTCAATAACTATTTAAGATATCAACTCATGAAACTTTTTATGTTGTTTTTTTTTTTTTTTTTTACTCTTATTCTGATTGCGGGAATTAATCCCCACACCGTTGCTTCAGGATCATGCCCTATTTTTTTTAAGTCCTAGGTCATTGTAGACATCAAGAAAAATTATTTTGGTGGAGGAACACCATGAATGTAAATGATATTAATGCCCAACAATTGTTGTCGATCAGTGCCCAGCAGTTGTTATTCTTCAATTTGACAATAATTTTGTTCATGCATAGCAGAGGCTATAATATTAGTTCCCAAATAACTTCCAATTCGTACGCAAAAAGGAAATAATATGATATTTAAAAAAAATAAATACACCTATGAGTTCCATCGTACACATACATCGACATCATCAATATAACATGTGTATATATCCTTTATATATATGTGAACATCACTTCTCCTTTTTCCACCGATAAAGCTTCTTCTCAGGCGTGTAATAAACCCCGTCTTTTCGAACTGAGTAACCACATACGTAGCTAGGGTAACAATACGCAGATGTCTCCGGATAAATATTAACCGGGAAATTCACAAACCCTAAATTAGACCGAAGATGACAATGCGTAAAAGCTTGCCTTCTCTTACCATCGTACTTGAACTGGGCCAGAACGTACCGATCTCCTGGTTTGGTTTTTCTCCATACCTTATTACCATTTGTGCATACAAAACCTGCGTTTCCATTGTTCTTCAGACCAATCAGATCATTGGAGATGACGATACGTACAAGGGTATTTGGCCGTACCCTAAATTCTGATTTGTAGTTTTCCTTGTGATATTCTTGTAATGAATTTACAACTGATGTTAAGGTTGAGATTTGTACGAGGAGAAGGATGAGAAAATTCGTAACTAGTGTTTTAGGATTCATCCTCTTTATGGCTTTTGAATTATTGTGTCTTATTTCTTATTTGTGTTTTCGTATCTCAAATATTGAAACTTCGGGGCTTTATTAGTACATAATTTTTTGAGACGGTTACTCGTTAATTAATACGTTTATTAGTTAGTTTGTTGCTCATTTGCCCACACAACAATCATCGTTTCATTTGTTTTCTGTTTGTACAACTCCACCGCCATTTGTTAACAAACACGTTTCGCAATCGACTAATATAGAAAGTTAGTTTGCATGAGGTTCTTTGAAATCTTTTCTAAGGATCGAACATACTGATGCCCCCATATTTCAAATCTCTGTAATATTATTTGATAAGTTACTTTTCAACATGTGAAGCTTAGTTTATTTTTATGATATTTTAATTATCTAGGTTTCCTTTTTTTTTTTTAATATATCTTAGGTATTCTTAGTAGACTAAAACTATTAGATTCATTGCTTTTAATACGTGATAACCATTTTTTTCCTAATATAAGCTTAGTTAACTATTTAGTTTATTTTTTGCAAAAGAAAATTTAAATTGGTTTGTATATATATATATATATATACAGATTTTAATTCTTAATATACTCTGATTTGTATATGGGACATTCGATTAATTCATCGGCTCAACTTGATTTCCCTTTCTTGTTTAACTACATGTAATGGGTTCTCTCATTTACGACTCAATCCAGACTTCGGTCTGTTCTGAATTCTCATTTACGACCCAATCCAGACTTCGGTTTGTCCTGAATGCTTACCAACTCTATATAACATAACTTCAGAAAACAAATTTAAAACTAGACATTCTTTTTCTATAAGATAATAACATATTATTATGAGTATATTTTTGAGCAGATGACTGAAAAAAATAAACAACATCTACTGATCAGATATCATATTGTTCACAAGATTTACTAAATAGATAATTTGATAAACTAAAACTATACTTAATTACCACTATTGACAATGTTAAAAAAACTTTTTTTTAAAAAAAGCACATAAATAATAAAAGTAAATATTTATAAAATATAAAACATATAGATTTTACATATACTAATTTTCTTTTATTTATATTTATATTTTTCCAAAAATATATCTATAAATTTTTAAAATATATACTTATATAATTTACAAGATAATTTGACAAGGTATGAACAAACTTATTAAAGAATCAACAATCAAATCAACCAGTTATTATAATTTCCTATTTCCTCAAACTATTAAATTTCACAAAATATTTAAAAATATAAGAGGTTGAACTTAACTAAATGAAATTAAGAAAATAATAATCTTATGTTAACCTAATTAAAAAAAATGTTGTTCAATTTAAAAGAATAGATATAATTCAACATACCAAAAACAAATACTTAATAAAATATTATATTACTAATATTATTAACTAGGATTTTTGTTCGCATATACGGACATAATATTTTTACAAATACTTTAAATTAAATATATTACCAATTCAAATACAATTAAAATAAATTACTTCATAGATTCAAAATATTTAATAAAAATTAAACAAATTTTTTTTTTACATATACAAGTTTTTTTCGTAACATAATATTTTTTTATCACATAACATAATCTTTACAACACTAGTTCTTTTGAAATATTTTGTAATAAATTAAATATTAAATTTTTAGATATGATTTTTTAAAATATAATAAAATTATCTTTTATCGCATCAGAATAAATCTGAAAACATAAATATATACAAAATATTATATACAATATATATAAGGACTTATCTTTTATAATTTAATTTTTTTAAAAAATTCTAATGTAAAATCATTTTTTGAATAACACAACATAAACTATTTTGATAGAATGATAGTTATAAAAATCAAGGAATTTTTTTTTAATTTATGGATAATTACATGTTTACAAATATAACTATTCATTAAGTTATTAAAGATTTATCACATAATATAAATTATTTTTAGATAATGATAATTATCAAATCAAAGAAAATTGCTTTTAATATATTGTTAATTATATATTGATTCAATTTTAGTTTATGGTTGATCAATATAAATTATTTTAAAATAATGATAATCATCAAATCAATAAAAATTGTGTCTTTATAAAATTAATTATATATTATTTTGTTTTTACTTTATGGTTAAGTATATAATAATGAATTTAATTATTTATTAAGTAATCATTAGTTAAAATCATTAAAACATAACAAATATGGAAAATTAGCTAAAATTATGGAGAATGTGATAGATTAGCAAATTCACTTTTGAAGTAATAGTTTAATAAAATAATTAATTTATGATTATAATAATTCAATTTGAGTTTATGGTTAATTAATACAAACTATTTTTAGATAATGATAATCATCAAAACAATAAATTTGTTTCTAATTTAAGGTTAATTATTTATTAATTCATTTTAGTTTATGGTTAATTATATATTAATAAATTCAACTATTTATTAAGAATAACAATTAATCATTAGTCAAAAATATAAAAATATGACAAATAAAAAAAAATATCTAAAATTATGGAGAAGGTGACAAATCAGCAAAGTTACTTTCTAAATAATACTGTAGATAAATATAAATTTATAGAATTACTGTATTTAACAAAGAAAATATTTGTATATACAGTTTAATTTGGTCCCATACGGGCATGGAAAAGAAATACTAGCGAACCCGGGTTTTTTTTAAGAGTTCTAAAGAGAAAAGGAAAAAATGAAAGTAATAAAAAGGTTCTAGAGAGTTCTAATCCAGAAGACCTAGAAGAAAAAGCAAACGCATATAAAGCACACAACAAGGAGGAAAATTTCACAGCAGACAGAACAACAATCACACACAAACATATTCAAAAGATGTTCGGGAGAGGACCATCGAAGAAGAGCGACAACACAAAGTTCTACGAGATCTTAGGCGTTCCCAAGAGCGCATCTCCTGAAGATCTCAAAAAGGCTTACAGAAAAGCCGCCATCAAGAACCATCCCGACAAGGGTGGAGATCCCGAGAAGGTATAGATCCTTCTCTTAGGTTTTTCTTTTTTCTTTTTTCTTTTACTTTCCCTCTGATCCTATCTTATTGTAATAATTCAATTCCAATTGCAGTTTAAAGAGCTAGGCCAGGCTTATGAAGTCCTTAGCGACCCTAAGAAGCGAGAGGTTTATGATCAGTACGGAGAGGAAGGTCTCAAGAACCGAATGGATGATAGTGTCCACGACCCTTTTGACATCTTCTCAAGCTTCTTTGCAGACCGAGAAAGAAGACAGAGACGTGGCGAAGACGTTATTCATCCCCTCAAAGTCTCTCTCGAAGATCTCTACCTCGGAACAACCAAGAAACTCTCTCTTTCAAGACACACTCTCTGCTCAAAGTGTAACGGAAAAGGTTCAAAATCCGGTGCTTCTATGCAATGCCGTGGGTGTCAAGGCACAGGTATGAAAGTGACTTTGAGGCAGCTCGGTCCCGGGATGGTCCAGCAGATGCAGCACGCTTGTAACGAGTGCAAAGGCACGGGAGAGAAGGTTAATGATCGTGACAGGTGTACGCAGTGTAAAGGAGAGAAGGTTGTTTCGGAGAAGAAGGTGATTGAAGTGAATGTGGAGAAAGGGATGGTGCATAGTCAGAAGATTACTTTCAAGGGACAAGCTGATGAAGCTCCGGAGACGGTTACTGGAGATATTGTGTTTGTTGTTCAGCAGAAAGAGCATCCTAAGTTCAAGAGAAAAGGTGAAGACCTTTTCTTCGAGCACAAGGTTTCTCTTGCTGAAGCTCTTTGTGGGTTTTCGTTTGTTTTGACTCATTTGGATGGGAGGAATCTTCTCATTAAAGCTAACTCCGGGGAGGTCGTGAAACCTGGTATGTGTATTCAAGATACTGATTATTCTACTTTGATTGAAACATTTAATTACTAATCTTGATTTGTTTGTTTTTGATAGATTCTTATAAGGCGATAAGTGATGAAGGGATGCCGATATACCAGAGGCCATTCATGAAGGGTAAGCTTTACATCCACTTCACGGTGGAGTTCCCTGACTCGCTAAGCCCTGACCAGATCAGATCACTTGAAGCTATTCTGCCTAAGCCTTCTACAACTCAGCTGAGCGATATGGAGATTGATGAGTGTGAGGAGACTACCTTGCATGATGTCAAGATTGAGGATGAGATGAAAAGAAAACCACAAGCTAAAAGAGAAGCTTATGATGATGAGGACGATAATGATGAACATCCCGGAGGCGCGCAGAGGGTTCAGTGTGCCCAGCAGTGAGTAAGAAACTTTGCTCACATGGGTTTTTGCCTCTTTCATTTTCTTATAGTGTTTTGGGATTTTAGTATGGTTTTGACTTTGTCCACTTTAGTGGAAAACCAACTTGTTTTTTTTTGTTCTAATTAAAACTAATGCCGTGTTATAGTTTTTGTGTTTGATATTGAATTTGTAGTCATCTAAAATTGAAAAAGTTATTAAGAAATGGGTCTGGAATTGTGTTGTTATTGTCTCTCTCTAGTGGCAATCTATCTAGCTCAAGTTTATAAATCTGTAAACTTCAATTGTTACTCACAAATCCAAAAGAATCTTTGAACCTGACACCTATCCTTTGCTTGGTCCAAGGCCGGCACTGGTTGGGAAGTCCATTAGTATATGATACATTATTATAATTTTTTTGTGAACCAATGTTAAAGCTCTACTGATTGCAAATGTTTTAGCAAATTTATGCAACTCTGCCTCTATGGCTGTGGTAGCAGAAGGTTTAAAAACACTGATTGGTTATGCAACTCCTCTGTGAACTATTGCGACAGACAAGTATGTGAGCAACAGGTCTATGTTCCAGACAAAAGTTAAGATCAGAACTTTTGAATGAATAATGATGTTGTCAAGGTAAGTCACTATGCAATGAAGATGATAAAGCAGTTGGCAAGATTAATGAACTCTGCATTGACAAGAAACTAGAAACATCATTTGGCGTACGGCACTATGGTATTCGATCTTATATAAATTGGATGTTTCATAATTGTCTGAGACGGGTTTGCCTATTATTGCGTCCCTTAACAAGATCCAACAATATAGTTGAAGAGAGAAAAAAACGGTCGAAGAAAGTCAAGTACTAAGAAAAAAGGTTTCAATTGTAAATAGAAAGAAACTCACAAAGAAAAAAGCATTGACAAAAAAACAGAGATGATATAAAAATTATGGTTTTCATGTTTGTTCATATTGGATTCATTGTTCTCTTATAATGTCGTTATTTTCTTCGTTATAATCGACCTTTAACCTCTCAATAAACTTTTTTGAAAGAACTTAACATCCAATTCATACTTTCATCTCCAACAAGTCGAGTTTAGATTCAAAAACTGACCCATTCAACACAACTTGTCAAAACCCTTCATAAATTCAAATCGGCTCACAAGTAGGAGTATACCATCTAAGACCCATAAAAGGTCTTTTCATTGTCAAGCTAAAGTAAAAGAGTTGTTTTGTAAACTCCTTGCATACTCTTACGCTAACGCATATGAATAAGAACTCTAGAAGCGAAAGGATACACCTAATCATGTGGGTGCTCTTTCTTGACAATGAATTTCTAAAGATAAAAATCCACCTGAAACAGAGCTTCATCTCTTGACACCTTCAGATTTCATTCACTCAGTACACATAGATGCTACAGTCCACACACATATATCTATATAAATATCTATATATAATATTGAGAATAATGATGTAAACCAAGCCTAACATCATCATTTTATCTCAACATCAAGACATAACCAAACCCATATGCCAAGAAGATGCCTTCTTTAACCTCACACTAGATAAAACACCAACACAGCAATCATAACCAACACCCAAGCAACAACGTCCCACCTCGCTCGGTTTATGGACTTAATCGAGAAGATACCGATAAAGCAACTCGACATTGATATGTTGTTTTCTTCACCAATGTCATTCTGTAACGGCAGTCTCTGTAGCAGTGATTGCATTTGTTTGTCTACCATGCTGGGTAAAGTCAGTACTCTTGTGGTTGTGGACTCTGAATGAAGCCTCGGGACATCAATCAATCTATTATTACCGGAGTCTGTTGGATCATCTAGCTTCACTATGTCATCCCTTAGAATATCCGCATAGAAATCTTCTTCACTAGGAACCTAGAAACATAAGAAAAAATCTCATGAGAATCATCAAGACATGAACCATTTGGTTGAAAAGAAAGAGGATCAAAACCTGTGGATTATGTGAAGATTGTGAAGATTCTGCTATTTCACTGAGTAGTTCACGCCCGGATTCACCTGATAAGTAATAATCAACCATATTTTCCCAACCAGTTTCGTTCTCCAAGTTTGTGTTCTTGTCAAGTGATGGACTTGGCTGTGGTGGTGGTGGCTTTTGTGTCGTCGTAGCTCTTTGAAACTCTGTATTTCTCCTAAGCCGACAAATAACCAGCGCATCCTATATATAAGAAATAATCAAGAAACATATAATCAAAAAATCAAGAAACATATAAGCAAACCACTAAGTAAGAGTTTCAAGAAACAGAATTATAGTAGTATTTTACCATTGATACTCCAATCATGCAGTACTCATGCATAATCCATTCAGTTCTTCCACCTTTTGGAGCACGACCAATGTGGAAGACAAGCGTCCTCTTTGTTCCAATAACCTCAGAACCAGACTTGACGTTACGTTCTTTGCCTGTGGCTTTCCAGTATCCAATCTTGGTTGCTCTTCTGTTCTGTGAACCGTGAGGATACTTCTTACCACGAGCACAGAAGAAGAACCATTCGCTGTCAGATTTAACTATTGATTTATCTGCCAATTATAAAGAAAATTGTTTAAATTAATTTCAAGAAATAGAGAAACATAAACTTTGCTCAGACCATGTACATCAAGATTTAGGTGAGCCAAACTTCAATCCTCATGCAAACTCAAGCCAATGAATCACATGTTCATTATACAAATCCAAAGTTTTTGTATTAGAGTCCCACATCGAGAAACATGAGTGAATGGGAGTAATATATATATGTGTGGACAATCCTTCACTCTCGAGCTAGCTTTTGGGTGTGATTTATGCCCATCACTAATATTTTACTAAATTTTAACTAATTTTTCTTACAAAGTATATATATATATAATCCAAACTCGAGCCAGATAATATGGTACCAGATGGTACGCTTTGGGCTAATCTACTATACTTCGGACTAGTCGATTCTGTAGTACTAGAACTAGCACTAAGTGAATTCCTCCCAGATCACCGGATCAGCAGCCCATAGGGTTTATGAAAAAAAAGGAATATATTGCATGGACATGGTAATGAAGTAAACACTTTTTAAAAAGAGAAGAATTATTACCAGGCAAGTCCCAGGGCTCGAAGTTGTAAATATCGACCTCAGGGATAATCTCAACGGACCTCTCCAAGCCATCCATCTTCCGTTTCAAGTAATACGAAATAAGCTCGATGTCCGTCGGAGAGAATTTGAAACCAGGAAACGCCGTGGAGACCGCCACTGAAGACACCGATGTATCCCTAGAAACCTCCGCCATAATAATAATCAACGCACGCCAGCGAGAGGAGGAGGGAGAGTTCAAAAGGTCTTTTTCTAGCTTCTCGGAATACGGAATAGCCAGTAGTTATATTTTAGAGAAGTAGTAAATACTAGTAAGATTCTTCTGCACCTCGGGAATTGGATTAGCTTCTTTAAGGAAGAGCGATGATCAAGTGCTTCTGTTTCAGTTTTCTTTTTCTACTTCCACACAGCTGTTGCGCGGGCAGTGAATGTCTACGTACGACTGCCACGTCATCACATGGTCGCTTAATTTGGTTACTTTTTTACCAACTAATTTTTATTTAAAGGAAAATGGAAATGAAAAGGGCCCAAATACATTACAGATCATGGATTAAGGAGCTAGCCCAATATCATTTACAATTTGGCTCAGCAAGAGAAAATGGCCGAATGCCTCGTAATATTCTCGACATAATATACTAGGCATGCACACATTTATCCGAAACCGAAGAACCGAATCAAACCAAAGAACCGAATCAAACCAAAAACAAGAGTTGATTCAGATTTGGATCCTACTAATTATTCAAACGGATTCATATCTCTAGAACTAAAATCGAACTGGAACCAAATTAAGAATTGATTGGGTATCCAAATTTTTATAGTATAATTTATGTACTTAAAATTATTAACTATATTTGATGCCAAAATAACTATATTTAGTTTTAAATTAATCAAATAATTCCAAAATATTATTTATAAAATCAATATCTTAAAAATGAACTAAATACTTCTTATACCAAATAATTAAAATTATTTATTGAAAAAATGATATTGAAAGGGTGATTGGTGAAGATATTGTAGAATTTAACTTTTATGATTTTTTAATTTCACTACAAGAAATGTAGTTTTTAAATTTATTGATACAATATAGAGACAATTGGTGTAATGTACCTAACGAAGATCCAAATTGACCGAATGTCGATGGCTGTGGATAATCCAAAAAGGAATAACTTTTTGACACTGTGCGGACGAAAATGCCCTCTTACTTTATCGAAAACATGTAACTCTAAATTTAGCGGATACACATTATGTTAACTGAACACTAAGAGATATTTTTATCAATTTTAACATGATATAAAAATTGTTAGCAAATTGACAAAATTTTAACATGCTACAAATTTTGTTATCGGGTTACGTCTATTTATTAATGTGTTAAATAAATCGCCAACAAACATGTTAACAATACTATTATCATAAAAATACATATATTAACCGATAATCAATTATCTATCAAATAGCCGTAATCCTATTTGTAACAGCTAACACTCTATGTATCGGTTACAAATTCATTAAAATATAATAATAACGGATAAATAATGAAATAACTGCTAACTTACATATTATCCAAATAAAAAAATGTATATTTCAAGATTTGAAATTAGAAATAATAGAATTAGTGTGAGATAATAACATTAGCAATATGAGTGTCAAAAGAATCAGAGTAAAAGATAGAGATTTATGATGAAAAAATGAAAGCATAAATATGTCATGTGTGAGAGATAAATAGATTAGAAGATAGGGAAGAGAAGAGAGAGAGAATGAGATATATGTATAATGGTGAGACAAAATAGTTTCTATTTTGGAAAAGTAAATGGCAAATATATGGTGTATTTAGGGACAATCCCACCAATTTCTATACCATACATTTTCTACAGTAAAAAGAGAATAAAAAGAATCAAATCGGAATTAAACTGAATTTTAAATACCAGAACGAACCCAAGAACTGAATGTCCATGGCTATAACATTTGGATATTTATTTCCAATAACTTCACAACCAAGCGCCCACTTCTAAAATGAACGTGCAATGATCGTCTCATAAAACATTTCCTAAACCCAAAAAAAAAAAGAAAAAAAAAAAAGTAAGTCAATAACGACAATCTAGTGGCGCTACTAAAAAACTCATACACTAGAGATCAAAACCAGATCTCTCCCCCCCCCCCCACTCTCCTCTCCAAAAACCCTAGATCCAAATCCAATGGCTGATTCGAAGAAACCAAAGCACCAGAGATACCACTCCACCGCCATCGAGTCCATGTATCCACTCCTCGCCCTGATGCTCATACTCGTCGCCTGCGTCGAGCTTTGCGACGCCGCAACCGTCGTCGACGCTTACCGTCTCATCCAGTACGACATCTCCGGCGTCCCTTTCGGCTCTCGCTTCTCCTCGCTCAATCACCACGCCGCTTCCCTCAGCTTCCAGCGCGGCGCGGATCTGTCTCGCTCCGTGCTTATCCTCCCGCTTCGTGAGCTCGATCTCGGATTCCTTCAAGGTAAGGCTTCGATTTCAAGGATCGCTCTAGTTAGGAACTTTTGATTTGATTTGATTTGATTGCTCTCACTGTAGATAGATACTTTTGATTTGATTCGGATCTCGGGGATTTTGTTGGTGTGATTTGTAGATTACATCTCGCAGAAGCAGTCGCTTGGAGGATTGTTGATTTTGCTTCCCGAGAGGTTTAGACCTGGAAACGTTGGTGGTGGAGATGTGATCTCGGAAACGGAAGGGTTGAGGAAGTTATTGGCGCAGGTTGAGAAGTTACTTGTTCATGGAAACATACCTGTGAGTGTTGTTGATCTGTTTTTATATGTATTATTTAGTTTTTAGCTTATATGTGTAGTAATGGTTGTTTTTGATTTTATTTATATAGTTTCCGGTGTACTTCGCGTTTGAGAATGAAGAGACTGATGCTATGCTGGCTGATGTGAAGAAGAATGACGCGCTTGGTTTACAAGCTACTGCTACCACTGGCGGGTTAGTCAACTATTTCATCAATCACGCTCTTTCAACTACTCATGTAAACAGTTTTGTTGAATCAATGTTCAAGAAATCGCTAGGGGGTGATTAGGTTTTGTATAGAGGATTATTGTTTTGCCGGACACTTAGACCAAGACCGATTTTTTCAAATGCCTAGACTGATTTTCCAAAAATTGGTCTATAACAATCGTCTCATGTAGATCCAATTTATCAACGAGCCGATGCGTTGACCGACTTTTAGAACACTGAGTTTAATACTAGTGATGATGTTGTGACTTCAAGATTAAACATTTTGTCTACTAGGACATCTTGTCTATAGATGGTAGTTACTTGAACATACATTTAAACTGTGTCTATATTTGAATATGCTCATTATATCTACAGTATTGTTTATTTCTAAGGAATGCTTTATTGTATGACGAACTTTTACCTCTATATGTTTGTAAACCATTATTTCTTTAATAATTTTCAGGTATAAGCTTGTTATCTCCGTATCAGAGCCTAGGAAAATTCCATCCCCCACCATCACAAACATTCAGGTAACACATGGAATTTTTTTTTTCTTTTTTGAAATTCTGATTATGTCATGACTAGCTTATTCTATCTATAATAAGTAGCATAAACGTCTCTGTTGTGTCTCCAACTATTTGCTAATTCAGTTTTAGGAACCTTGGCTACTGTAATTTAAGATGAGTAATAGTTAGCATGATAGTCCGTACTGTAGATACCTCAGTAGTTAACTTCTGATGGTCTAGTTTGTGGTAGCCTGAGAGGATTTGTTTGTTTTTTTGCAGGGATGGCTTCCAGGATTGAGAGCAGATGGAGATTCCAACCAGCTTCCAACAATTGCTATTGTTGCATCCTATGATACCTTCGGAGCAGCTCCTGTATGTACTATGAGTAGTAGATACACTTTGTATTGTGCAAGTAACCTGATTAACTTTTATTTGTAGGCACTATCAGTTGGAAGTGATAGCAATGGAAGTGGGGTCGTGGCGCTCCTTGAAGTAGCTAGACTATTTTCCACTCTTTACTCAAATCCCAAGACAAGAGGAAGATACAATTTACTTTTTGCGCTGACATCTGGTGGACCCTACAACTACGAAGGAACTCAGAAGGTACTGGGTTTGGCCTTACTTCCTGATTCTACTTTGCTCATTTTTTGTTGCATTTGCAAACTTGTTGGTATTCTTCATTAAGGATCATATCTTCTGCAGTGGCTGAAGAGCCTTGATCAGAGGATGCGTGAGAGCATTGATTATGCCATTTGCTTGAACAGTGTTGGCTCCTGGGACAATGAACTATTGGTTCACGTGTCAAAGCCTCCGGATAACGCGTATATTAAACAAATTTTTGAGGTAAAAATGATTAGTGTATATGCATCTTTGCAGTGACTAGCTATTATGGGCCATTCGTTAATGCATGCATTTTTGCAGGGATTCTCTAATGTGGCAGAGGACTTAGGTTTTCAAGTTGCTCTAAAGCACAAAAAGATTAATATCTCTAATTCACGAGTGAGTATTACCTTCACTATACTTATTTGCGACAGTGGTATGTCAAGAGTATTCCGTAGTTTCACATGCCCTTAGGTGTCTAATTGATGTGGGAATGTCCCTATCATGATTTGAAGGTCGTTATGTTTTGCAGCATGAGACTTGTCTTATGCTGTGATTAGGCTCCGTCTTTACGTTTTCAAGTGGAAAATCTCAATGATAACCTACTTTTGCTTAGTTAATTGATATAATTTCCCACCTCCTTCAGTGAGTTTCTCATGTAGCGGTTACGTGATATCTATGACTATACCATATTGGCCTCTTCATTACAGTGCACACCTTCTGATTGAATTTGTGCTGCTGATTGTTTAGGTTGCTTGGGAGCATGAACAATTTTCAAGACTTAGGGTAACTGCAGCCACTCTATCCGAACTTCAGAGTCCACCCGAGTTACTGGAAAATGCTGGAAGTCTGTCTGACACAAGGTAGCCTTTACAAAACGAATCATCTGTATTAGGCACTCTGATCAACGTATTCTCTCCTGTTTCATACTAAATACCACGATACTTTTATTCTTCCGCAGGCAAAATGTGAATGAGGATGCTATCATCAAGGGGGTCAAGTTGGTGGCTGAAAGCCTTGCGGTAAGACAAGCACTCAACTCAAGTACTTACTTTGTATACTGAGAGAAAGTTTATACCGTTAAGTGGGTTTGTATATTTTTGTTACATTTGATTTATATGTTACTTGGTTTCCGCAGAGACATATATATGGTCACCAAGGAAAAGACATCAAGATTTTTGCAGATGACAGTAGTTTGGCTGTAAATCCCCATTATGTGAGATCATGGTTGGATCTTCTGTCACAAACTCCTCGGGTGGCACCGTTTCTTTCAAAGAACGAACCATTTATCATGGCTCTGAAGAAGGTATATATATATTATCTCTACCAGGCAATTTGTTTATGATTTGTGGTGCTGAGATACGCTCTCTTGGCAGGAACTAGAGGATTATACTGCTGAAGTGAGTATACAGCATGAATCTTTAGATGGAACTTTTACATTTTACGACTCAACAAAGGCTAGCCTTAACATATACCAGGTACTACTCTCTTTACTATTTTCAGACACTAGCTTTGTTACATGCGATTGAAAGTTTTAATATTTGATGTTTGTGGTGCTGTAGGTGGCGAGTGTAACATTCGATTTACTCTTGCTTCTGGTGTTAGGATCATACTTGATAGTGCTTTTCAGTTTCCTCGTCATCACAACTCGGGTAAATTTTATAAAATCCGATATATCTAGTATTATACATAATACAGGAAAGCAAATTTTAACGGAAAAATGATGATGACAGGGTCTGGATGACTTGATAAGCTTATTCCGCCGGCCTCCTTCCCGGAAAGTGAAAATGGTTTGATTCCCTTCCTTGCCGGAAAGTTACATTATGAATCACTGAAGAAAGAATTCACAAAGAGAAGAAGCAAAAGAAAATGAGTTTGTTCCCCCTCTTCTACTTTTTGTTTTGATGTATGCCTCTTTCTTTGTCGCTTCTTATTATTTTGCAAAAGAATAAAAGATCTAACATTGTAGTTTTCGTTTAATTTCTTTGGTTACCTTAAAATTAATGTCTCATCCTCTCTTTCTCTCGAGTCTCGAGAGAATCCTCTTTCCCAAGTCACGTGTAATTTACTTAACTTTTAAATCACTAAATTTACCTTTTAACTCTGAATGAACAATAAAGATTCAAAGCGACAGTAAGGACAGATCCAAAAAATAGTGTCCTAAATTTATATAAGCTGTTCTTAAAGCCATGATAGAGTCTACTAACTGTAGTTCTTAGTTCAGAGTCTATTAATTGTAGTTTCAGTTAAGAGACTGTTCTTGTATAAATAAAAATACAAAAAATTGGAAAATATTTTCGATCTCACTTTCTCAAGAGCATGACGAATAATTTATAAAGTTTCCAGCAAAAAAGTATGTACAAAGGAACAAGATGTCTTTCTTTTTCCTTTACTTTTCTCTCTGCTGCTTTTGCTCTTCCATGTCTAAAGACACGAAGCTAGAAAGACCTGTCTAGTTGAGTTTCACTTGGATTTGACGGTGAACTTGAACTAGAAAGTCCATGTACGAGAGCCCACCAGCTGTTTTGTCCTCTACCATATACGATTGGAACAACATTCCTGCGTAAAAATAAAAAAAACGTTCAAAAACGTTAGGTTATGCTAAGAGTAACTCTCCACTAACCGAAAAAGTAACCATTAGCTTATGGTAAGAGTAACTTCAAACGCTAACTCACCAGTTGGATCTCCCTTCTTGCACAACTTAATGCTGCAAAACATTAAGAGATTTAATAACGTTAGAATGGAAATCACTAACACAAAAACTTAGATTAATCAGACTCTTGTTTGATACCGTAGGTAAGAACTTCTTTGCCTCCTTATTTCATTCACCACGTCATTGAACTTCTTTGATAGCTTATTATCATACTTTTCCAGCACATACTGTAAAGGAAAACAACACAGCGTATAAAAGATCATGTTAAGCAGAGGTCTCGACAACATAGCGCCACGATGATGATGATGATTTGTCGATAAGTAAATTGTACCTGACTTGGAATGTTTGCAGCTGAGGGAACATCAAAGAGCTTCATAAGGATATCTGAACTGACTGTCTCCCCGACATATATCAAACCATCGTCACCGTTCTCGAGAAAGTAGACTCCCTCATCTCTAAGGTTTTCACTTGTCAACGGGATCGGACAAGGAACCAAAGTTTCTTCTTCATTATCCTGATATAAATTTAACAACAATCATCAAGACAAAGAGTAAATTAAAAAAATAAAAGCTTCATATACCTTTGTATCAAGGTCATGAACAGAGATCATTCTTGGATAAATTAACGGAATTGCTAAAGGAGTAGGCAGTGAAGACACATGGTTTATCCAAAATGATCGGTCATCAATTCTTCCCTCTGGCCGCAACCCCACACCTTTTGTTAAGGCTGCAAAAAAAAGAGGATAAAGAGATCACAAGGAGCAAACAAACCTAAAATTTTGGTTGTAATTATTTTTTATTTGTTTCAAATGGAGAAAAAGTGACAAAGGACATACAGAGAGTATATAGTGGCAAAAGCTTGAGTGCTTCAGGAAGAATAAGTTGTCCAGCTGATGTAACTGTAGCGCAGAATTTACGATAAGAAGAGAGTGTGGAGATGCAACTACTAATTGCTTGCTCCTTCACCAATGAAAGTGCCTTGCTAGGGATCTCATTAGCAGCTACGTTAAAAAACAAAAAGTAAATTATTATGTTTGCCTAAAAATATAACACAACATGGTTAGCAGTTGAATCAGAGACACCTTACCTAGTTTCAGCATACAAGCGAACTGAGAATCCAGGTCAGCTGAGCGGAACAAGTTACTGAGCATACTTGTACAAGGGAGTGATAAGTTAATAACCCTTATTCTTCTTTCTCCATATATGCTTGTATACAGAAGGGCACACTGAAAAAAAGCATAGAAGAAAAAAGTACACATTTTAATGAAATGAAACTATGCCAAAGTAGGGATCACGTGAAAATTATTTTAAATGGCCAATTAACCTGAAAACCACATTCAGCTCCATCTTGTAGTTTGTCGTCATGCTTTAATGTCACCATAACAGCTTTGTCACAGTCAATCTGCAAGGTTCGTTAGAAACAAAACAAAGTTATATTCATTTCTGGTACTGACACAAATATAAACAAATACACAAAATGTTATGGAAGACAACAAAATGTAAAACTGCAGTAGGAGGATGCACCCACCGCAGGTAGATCAATGTCAGTTGGTATGCGTTTACAGAAGTTCCCTGAGTATTCTTGCACTTGAATACCCTAAGAATAATCGGCAAGAGTGTGGTATTCATCAGTATAACCAACATTAAGCTGAGTTTTGCAGAGCTTTCTACAAAAAATAGAGGCTACCTGACTGCATCTAACTCGCATAACAGCCTCAAAACCCTGGGGCCTAGTGATATTCCATCTAAGATCGTTGTAAAGCTTGGGAGGATCTGAAAGAGCTGAGAAAGGGTAATAGCAATAAACCTGCAAACAAATATAATGAACAAAAACAAACTAATATGAGCATAATATTCATGAGATATAGGATCCAGTAGAGTGATACATGTGCCACGGTAAGAGAAACACGTGTTTCTTTCGGAAATATAACTTTTAAGTACAGAGACGACATCCACTGTTAGCAACACTTGTTAATGAACTATGTCTGTTATATCCATCATTAATGAAAAAAATGCTTGTCATTTACAATTAAATGAAAGTATATAACTGAATCTACCTGTCCTCCAGTAGTTCTTGGGATCTCAGAAATTGAAGCCATGTCAACATAAGCCTGACTTGTGATAAATAAATCTACACAGACCTGAGGTATGTCTGGATGCATTAGATAGGGAAATATATATTGGTTAATTTTCCAGATCAAATTATATATGGTATACCTGGTATTCAGCAAATTCAATAGCCATAGTCCTTAAAGTTTTGTCTGCAGGTTGTAGTAATTTATTGGCCTCCTGAAATCAGATTAAAATGAATTACTTTGAATAACGACACAGCAAAACCATATGCATAAGCCAGAAATAAACCTAAGATATGACTAAAAGAAAACTATTACTTCATTAACTAAATTAACCAAAAAAGCATGTGTACCTTTTCATCCGCAGAGGAATTAGCTCTCCCATCGGCTTCTCTAGAAGAAAGTGCTCCAATGCCAATAGAAGGCAAAACTATGGAGGAGATGGTGAACATATCAGTTAAGTTAAAATAAGAAGAATGAACTAATAGTAAAAGAAACACACTTCAGGTGGTTCAAAGATATTCATATATTGATTACAAGTGACTGAAAAGAAAAGCAGTGGTTGGTTACCTGATTGAAACACCATGAGCTTTCCTCCAGTGCTCTTCATTGCTAAGAATGCAGCCTAGGAGAAAAAAGAGTTGTAGATACATAAGTCAATATCACAAGAAGAGAAATAAATCTAATAAGCGCTTTGCTACATCACCGTTGGTCAATTCACCCACAAAATCAACTTAATTTCTATTATTTTTTCCAAAATATTCAACTCAGGTTTTGTTTACGCTTACAAATTAGTCAACTCGTCAAACTGTGCATACCACCTAACTGCAACGAACTTTTACTTGAGCAATTACATTTGACATTAGTTAACATACCTTAACTGCTGCACCAAAAGCAGATTCGGGGCTTTTACTTTCCTGAAACATTGTTGGGATACTTTCCAGCAAAATCTCTAGATGCTGACGGCACTAAATTCCAACAGAGTAGAATAAGAAAGAAAGTAGGATAAAATATCTCAGTATAGAACAAAACTAAGTGGCTACGAGCTTACCTCAGATAGCTGAACAATAACATCTGTTTCTAAAGGTGTATAAACATCTTGAACATCAGGAACAATGAGCATCAACGGCTACAGAAGAACAAGGCAATCAAAATCACAACGGACTCAGCCAAAAAAGAGAAGGAAAAATCAACAAGAAAGAGAGAGAGAGAACAAATTCTGGAAATTTATAGCTACAGAGGAAGCATTTTATGTATTTGTTTCAAATTTAAAATAATAAAGGTTGTGCATCATGCCTATTGCACTGAAGAGTGGCTTTCAAGTGATGAAGGCTTAACAGTCTACATTTATTCAGCCACGTGACACAGAAAAATTATTTGCAGCAAGATAAGAGATTAACACATTTATATCTATGATATCAAAAGCAGAAAGGTGTACACAAATAAGGGTAACTCCATTAACAAATCACCTGTTGCAGTGCACGCTTTAAATTATAAAAGTGTATTGTTGAGTCAAATGTGGCAATTCCAACAAACGTCCTAGGACCTTCCTGGAAAATGAATACACACACGACTTTGTTAATAAAAAAACATACAACGATTAAACAAAACATGTCAGTGCGTGTATGTCGTTGGAAAACTTACAGGAAGGTCTGAGAGGACTTGCTGGATTGCACTGCAAGCAGCTGCGGTTGCACCTGTTTGAATTGCATTCATTGACACATCAATGAGAAAGAAATACACCGCTGGCATTGGATCTCGTACCTGTAAAACAGATACTGATAGTTACTTATGTCCATCTTGTTGCAATCAACCAAGTAGCATAAGGATTGTTTTTCAATTTTTTTTATCAACATTAGTAAGGAAACAAAATACGAAGGCATATGAGTACTAACTACCAAGCACTTGACCTTGTCTGGAGGTAACACGCGTAAGATAATGAGAAAAGTTGGCATACTAACCATATATTCTTTTGTAGCAACAAAGTCAACAGTTCCCCTACACAGTTCAGGCCTTTCATCAGCATCCCTACGTCTACCATCTGGACCCAGATTGCATTGGTAGTCACGGGGAGTCTCATCAGTGTATCCTGTTCCAGCATTGTTAGTTTATGAGAAAAATGGATCCATATTATTTAAGTCCTAAATGATTAGGATGATAACGATTCATATAGTATTATTTTATAACTCAGTAAGGTAAGCGAGCATCTAATTCTACCCTAGAATAATTTTAAGCTTCTCATAGCTTGGTACTCACTACTGTAATAACTTATTAACTAGGCTTTTTATTTAAGGGAACAATAGTATTTTACCACACAAGTTACAAATGAACTTCCTTCCATGGTCAACGAACTTCATGAAAGGATTGATGTATCCCTTACAACGTGAACATCTAACAGGGCCACTCTCACCAAAGTCCACAACCTGCGCAATGACATCAAAATTAAGTTGATTTTTTAAAGTGAAATGCAAACAGTGCAAACAATGAAGGCAAAAATGCTCTAAGTGATGAGAAAAGGCAGAATGTGAAGAAAAGCTTAATGTTACTTGGATAGGCTCTTCAGATGGATGAGAAAGCGCCAACGGTTGGATTATTAACGCCAGTTGCATACCAGATGTAGAAAGAAGATCAACAGTGCATGGAATCTATTGTGGAAACAGAGAAGCAACAGTAGATCAATACTTGAAACACAAATATTTACTTTTAGCTTCACTTTCATAGTTACCTGATGGATTGTGCATCGCATGTAACGCGGGCTGCAATTTCCAGTGTCTCTAGCAACATAATCAACCGTAGCAGGCTTCCAGAAGATTCAGAGCAAACAAAAATATTATTTTTCAGTCAATCCATTAAGATCAAACAGTAATTTTCAAAAAAGAGAATATAAGACATACTGGTGGAGGATTAGCCTGATTCCCCTGGCGAGTTTCATACACGATTTGACCAGAGCTTGTACCTGGCCTTGGGATCTGGTTAAGATCAACCTTCGAGGGGCCAGAGACAGTGGTCATTAACTGATTTGGCATGCCATACATTGAACCAGGAGTGCCAGGAGTAGGAGGGACCTACCAATTTCCACAGTTCAAAATGTGTCACACAAAGGAAATGCATCAACGGTGAAACTTTACTAGCCCATGAAACAGATGAAAGACAAAAATCTAAACATGGTATTCTCTACTCTATTACTACGTATCAGAATTCATCTATTAATATTATAAAGAAGCAGTGACATCAAGAACAGGTTTAACTTTCGTCCTAATAGAGGCATTGCATGTTTCATCAAAATCATAGACAAGAACATATTTTATAGCTTCAGAGATTGTACCTGCTGTGGTGGTGGTCCTCCATAAGGAAAGCCTCCTGGCCTGCCGCCATAAGGGGCACCCGGAAAAGTTGTTGGTGGAGGCAATGAATGAGCAGAAGGTGAAGTTAATGGTGAACCTCCACCCGCGTTGGGAGGCTGTCCATATGGTGGCGGTGGACCACCACTTGTGAACTGGGATCCTCTAGGAAAACCCATCATAGGAGGAGGACCATTTGTAACCGGACCCATCATCGGAGGGGGCCCATTACTCACCGGACCTCCAGGCATGGAAATGCCAGGTCCAGCAAGTGGAGGTGAGCCAAAACCAAGCGGGCGTGCTCCTGAAGGAGGAGCAGCAGCAACACCACCTGGTGGGCCTGAAGAAGCTGGGAAACCACCAGACGGTGGTCTAGAGCCAAACGGTGACTGACTAGGTGGACCAAAGGGTCTTCCACCACCAGGTTGTGAAACCTGAGGGGGACCACCAGGTCTAGTCATTGCAGGAGGAGGAGGTCCAGGCCTAGCCATTGGAGAAGGCCTAGGCTGTTGTTGTTGAACACCATAGGGAGGAGCTGACTGAGGATAAGGTGGTGATGGCCTAGGAGCTGAACCAGGCATGGGAGGAGGTGGCCGGTTAATGTTAAGGTTGTGCATGCTAGGAGCTAGAGAATTTGAAGGAGCTGTGTTTTGTGGATTGTTTGGTCTATTTGCTCCTGGAGTCATTGGAGCTGCCATGCTTTCAGAGAACCTCCTCAAAAAAAAAAAAAAAATCAATTTCGTTTTTTTTTTCATAAATACAAAATGATCATGCAACAAATGCCAACAAAAAAAAACATGATCTGTAACCATAAGCGAACCAAGAATCAAAATCAAATTACCTGTAAATCAGAGAACCCTCGGATCTGTAAGACAAGAAGAGAGAGGACAAAAAATATCAGATCTGATGAAATTTGGATTATGTTTTTTTGGAGAGACCAATGAAGGTAAATTGCAGTATCAATTTGATACCAAACATTAAAACGTAACGTTGATCACGATTCACGAACCTGGAAGTAAGAAAGAAGAATCGAGTCTTACCGATGGAGAAAACTTGAGTGAGGAGAATAAGAAGAAGAAGCTAATGGGACCTGTGAATAAATATGGCAGCGTTTTAATCAATTTACACGTAACGGAGGCATTTGATTGGAGATCCGGTTCGGACAGAACTGTTTTGGGATTTTCTTCCTTTTCTAGAGTTACCGTTGATGTTATTTTTTGGTTCAGTTCAAATTGGGTTTATATACGAAAAGAGAAAGTCTCTTTTGGGCCGATATGACATCATCTCAATTTCTTTTCTCTTTTCCTTTAAACACTTGGAGGACCTTTCATTAAAACATTAATCAAAGGGTTTACAGATCATACAGTACATCAATGAACTGGATCAGGCACAATCTCATCCAAAAATAGGAGGGATAAGCCAGAACAAACACAAGCTAGCTTCCTAGCAATGAAGAAATCATGTGTTCAGTTGTCTAGATTGCCAATCTAGTTTCCAGCACCTAAGTCTTTGAAGATATTCATTTATAAGTATAGTTTTAGTGAAAAGTTGATGAGAAAAAAAACTGGAATATCATCGTATATGTAGGACTCTACTGGGTAGTTAAGAACAAAACTATTAGGCATGGACTAATTCATTAAGTTAACACTTTTTAGCATACTCATGAAAACAAACTTGATAAATTCGAAGTAGATCATGTTCAAAAAAAAAAGTTTCTTCAGCATGTATAGGTACAACAATTTTTTTTAAGAAACAATGTGAAATTGATACGACTTATATCATTCATTATCTTCCAAACAAGAGCAGAATACTAAGATTTAGGAACAGTGACATTAAGTATCTTCACATCTTGGTAGGGCCTATCGTTCTTGTCTGTCTTCACTTTCTCTATACCCTGTTACATTCGGTTTTAATATAGTTAAACAAGAGAAAATATCACCCTAGCAAAGCAAAAACATACTCATTTTATTTTGTGTATTTTTACATACCTGTACGACGTCCATTCCTTTCACGACTCTTCCAAAAACTGTATGCTTATTGTCTAGCCATGGTGTAGCCACCGTTGTGATAAAGAACTGTGACCCATTTGTGTTTGGACCAGCGTTTGCCATAGATACTGTGAACGGCCTGTCATGCCGTAAACTGCAAGAAAAAAACATAAGTTTTTTTTTTTTACATTCAATTCGTTTCTAAAAGGAGCAGCAGACATGGCGGTAAGAAATGATTTTTTTACCTTTTGTGAAACTCGTCCTCGAATTCCCTTCCCCAAATTGACTGTCCTCCAGTACCATCCCCAAGAGGATCTCCAGTTTGTACCATGAATCCTTTGATAACTCGGTGGAAAAGGTGGTTATCGTAATACCCATTTCGACAGTGTGTTGTGAAGTTCTCCACAGTTTTGGGGCATTCTTCTGGGTATAGCTTTATGTGCATATCACCCATTGTGGTGTGCATGATCTGGATACACAAAAAAAATGAAGAAAAAAGGGAGTTTATGTTAAAGATCCAAATCAGATACTACTGATGATTTGTAAAAATGGGTTATGAAGAACATACCACGTTTTCTGGAAGAGATGTTGTGGCTGAGTTACCATTAATATCTGAGACAGACATAAGTTCATCAGCAGAAGGCTTCTCGTTGAACACATCCCTTCCTTGGCTTGCATCTTCAGGTTCTTCTGGCTCTCTCCGACTGCATATATCAGTTTATTTATACTCAAATCCATAAGTAGAGAGAAAGAGAGAGAAAAAACGGCTCAACGTGATGTTTGTCTGAAGATGAAAAAGCATGATATGAGTCATGTACCTGAACATATAGATCCTGTGTTTCTTGAAGGCGCAGCATATAATAGTCGGATCAGTTAAAGGCTCCTTGCTTTCATTAACATTTGCTGCAGCTGCTGGAATCTTTCTAACTTTCTTGCCTCCTTGATCACCTTGATACAATGCAACTCTCAGATATCTTTCATTACTCTCCACCTTTCCAAGGATCCTTGCAACTGTGTTGGTGTGTAAATTTATTATCTACGCCAACAAAAAGCGTCGATAGAGATGTCAGTTAGTTGTCACACCTTAGATATCTAGTTACAATAAAGTGAAGCCACAATAAATATTGGTTCCATAAACAACTAGCAAGTATGATCAATGATTGTTTCATGCTCATATGCTACTCTATGCTAATCTAAAACGAAAACAATAAATGAATTCTTACTTTTATTCCAAGAAGAGTGGAATATATAAGGAAATTAGAGCTCTCATCGAAAACTGCATTGGGCTGCGGAGCGGTCTCGGTCTTTTCAAGTTCCTTCTCAACTGCCATTCTTCTACCAAAGTCAATCGCTTCAAGCCTGTAAAGTGGAGCATCGCTCCTCTGCAGATCTTGGGCCACCTAATAGGTTTCAGTAGAAAGATGATTAATCAAGAATAATATGTCACAACATGTAATGAAAAAAAAAAAGAATAAAGAGTATGTAGCCTTACCTCAAGTGACTCGTCATATACACGTCTTAGTTTACCAGTTTCAAACCAGAATACGCGAATCCTACGATCAGGAGATGTAACAGAAAACTGGCTACCATCCGGACTCACCTGAAAGAGTTTCAATAAATTTAACTTGCACAATGAGCATTTGACATCGCAAGAAAATAAGGTAAAACACGTATACTAAATAGTACCTCAATGGCAGAGATTGTTGTTTTGCACTTTATAATTTCAAAGAGATTTGTATCACTCTTCAGTTTAAATTTTACCCTACAAAAATACGCAAAAGGTCGAAACCAAAACACATTCTGAAAAAGTGTAGTAACAAAAGTGTCTCTATTATAGCCTCCTCCTATGTCTGAAATAGCGAAAAGGATGGGACGCCTCTAGCCTAGGAAAACCCTCCTCTTGGTAACATTCTCTCATCAGTATGAAAACTAACTCCCACAAAGAAAAAGGGTATGCTCCAAACAAACAGAAAACGCACAGCAACAATACCCTAAATGGAAAGAATAAATGAATTTTCGATAAGAAAATGAGACAAGGACATACTCATCCTCAGGAAACTGCAGCGTAGAAGGACTCCAGTACTCAATGATTCCTTTAGTGTCACCAGAGATCATTGTGTCAGCAACAGGATTGTACTTCATCACCTTAATTGGGTACGAATGTATCTGTACAAAATTAACAAACGTTTAGCTGTAGCAAAAAAAAAAAAGAAGAGCAAAATAAATTCAAAAACAAACCTGTTTTGACGCAATGGGTTCATTAGAACCAGAACGGGGATCATAAATATGCACAAACGAGGAGTCACGGTCGCTAAAAGCAAGCTTAGCTTTGACATCCCCTTGTTTATAAACCCACTCAACAGCACCAGGAATAAACGGCAGACGGATCATAGCCATCATGTCGTAGTTGACAACATCATATATCTTAACCGCATGCTCGTTTGAGATTGTGCAGCAAAGCAAACCGTCAACGCTAACCGCTAGACCTTCAATAGGACCAAGATGGGAGCGGAAATGCTTAGCAAACTCGATTCCAACTCCCTTCTTCTTCCAAAATTTCAAGTGGCCTAAAAGAAAATCAATGGATGCATAAGAAAACAAGAAGAAAACTAGAAAACGGATATTTATAATAATGTGAAACAATTACCATCAGTGCTTCCAGTTATAAAGAAATCAGCAGCTGAGACAGCAACATGTGTGACTACATCCCTATGCATGTAACTTTTCTCATACCTGCTCAAACCAAAAAAAAGAAAGATAACAAACCAATAATAAGATTACTTTTATAAATTATAAATATTATATAACACATATTCAGTGATTCATAAATCTAGATGGGAAAATCATTGAAGAGATTATCACTAACTTGGTCTAATTGAGTTAAACTAAATACCTCAATTTAAATGAGTTATAACTAAAGATGAAGTTAATTAGAACAAATTATTTATTTTAACATCCATAACAATATGTTTAATATGTTTTAATTAGACTTTTAAAACGGAAACTATCCAGCACTTTCAAAGCGCGGGTGAAAATCTAGTAATAAGCTTATGTTGAAGAAACAAGAACCGGTTTCCCGGTTTAGTGTTTCAATAATGATTCCGGTTTGTTGGTTTGGTTTAGTAGAAACACTTATCGGTATGCTTTTCATCACTCAAATATTAAACCTAATCTCTTAATCTTCTGATTCTACTCATCTTCTAGGTTCTGATTGAGTTTCTAGATTCAAATTATTCGCTAATACTAAATCACGAGCAACTTATAAACGCTAAATCGCAGACCGAAGAAAGTTCCGAGTCAATACTTACATATTAGCAGAAGGAAGCGAATCGAGATAAGCTTGCTCGAACTGAAGCGGACGCTTGCGTTTGACACGTGGAGCAGGTCCAGGTCCCACCATCGGCTCTTCCTCCTCCACCGCCGCTATCGCGTTTCCATTCTGAGATTCTTCCGCCATTGATTTGCTCGATTGAAAAAATCCCAACGGTTGCTCCTTTGCTAGTGACGGAAGAAGAGTAGATTCGTAAAGAAAAAAAAGAGAAGGTTTTGCTCAAAAAAAAAGAAAGAGAATGGTATCTTTATTGGGCCTCATATAAGCCCATTTAGTAAGCTCGAGAAATACACAGATGTGGTATCTAGGTTTTCTTTTTTTTTGTCGGCCAAAAATATATTATTAATCGACATATAATAAGTTGTTGTAGAAAAAAATTGGATTAATAAATATTTCAAATAATATTACTTTGTTTCTCTAACGAACTTTTCTTTTTTTAATATTTTTTAAAAATTATATTTAGAATTGAGAAATAATTAAGATTATATAATTAAAAAACTTCTGCTATCCAAAAGACTAACTGAGATCATGTTCTTGGACATGGACGGAACATGTCTAACTACAGTCAATGTGCACACTCTACCACCATATGCCCTGAGCTTTATCGAACCAATTCCTGCAATATCGCAAGCAAAGTCATTTGCCATCTTGATCTTGCCATCAGTCACTTCCTCATACTTTGAGAACCATTCCCTCCTTGGACACATATGATATGACGCTCCTGTGTCTAGAACCCACACATCCCTAGAATATGTTTTTCCATAAGCAACTAGAACAATATCCGTCATCAGACTTAGCTTCATTCTCTGCTACAGCAGTGGA